AGGCTCGTATTGAGGCCAGTCTCAGAGAGAGGGAGCGGGAGGTCCAGAAGGCCCGATCAGAACAGACCAAAGAGATCGACCGAGAAAGGGAACAGCACAAGAGGGAGGAGGCCATCCAGCATTTCAAAGCTCTAATGTCTGACATGGTGAGGTGCTCTGCAGAAACACTGGGGTGTGAAAAAACACATGCTCTTATCATGTGTGAGTTTCGTTAAGTTGTGATCATTGTTTGTCAAAAAGTGTTTGAAATGTTACAGTTCATGTGTTGCTTATTTTGGGGATAATCCTACTAGATGGGTTTTTTCCCCCTCTTTGATCCCTTCAAGCAGTTTTTTTTTTTTTCCCACGACTGTTTTTGTATTCGCCCTTCAGGTCCGTTCTTCTGATGCAACATGGTCAGACACACGTCGTAACCTGCGGAAAGACCATCGCTGGGAGTCAGCTTCGCTGCTGGAGAGAGAGGAAAAGGAGAAGCTGTTTAATGAACATGTAGAAGCGCTGGCCAAGAAAAAGAAGGAACATTTCAGACAACTGCTGGATGAGACCAGCATGGTAAGAAGTGAAAAAACAGGACAGAAAAAGGTGCCAGAAGTCATTTTATATGCTATATTTATAATACGTTATATATGATAGATCTGCAGCTCGATCACTGACAATTTTAAAGAAAAGGCTGTTGTTTTTGTGTGTGTTGTAGATTACTCTGACAACCACATGGAAGGAGGTGAAGAAAGTTATCAAAGACGATCCTCGTTGTATTAAATTCTCTTCCAGTGACAGGGTAAGACGTTATGGGCTCCAACCCATCTTTATATTATTATAAGATGATAAGAGATTAGTCGTGTTGCAAAAGTACGTCACAAGAAAGCAGTATTGCTCTGTAGTGTGTCTCTTTCACTTAAAATCTCACTTAATGCCACACCTTAGGAGTAAACACCCTGTAGCAGTCTTCACAGCTGCTTCTTATCCTATTCCAGTGTTTTTCTTAAATTTTTGCTACTATAACTTTGCACTGTCCACTTTCTGCTGTGATACAACAGATTTCCCACGTGTGGGACTAATAAACCTTATCTTATCTTATCTTATCTTATCTTATCTTATCTTATCTTATCTTACTGCCAGTCTAAACAAAAGAATCGGATAATTCAAAAGTGAATTATAAATCCAGTCCTTCTCCATGTCTCTTCAGTCAGCCCAAAAGATGATTTGACTTAAAAGTGCGTCTAATAAAATCCAAACCATGAATCTGAATTTATCAAGAGGGTAGTGAAAGTGATGCTGTATCTCTCGCTCTCTGCTGAATCTTCGGTGGTGTGTGTGGTAATTATTGTGGATAGACTCTCTCTGTTGTTCAGCGAAATGCGAGAAAGGGGAAGTCCAAAAAATTCCAGAGTTCAAATGTCTTAACTTTCACTTTCAATGTGCTCTGCTGTTTGCAGCATAAAAACATCACCATCGTTTACAGAAGGACAGAAAAAGGACAAATACTCTATTTTTTTTCTTTATTAAAACAGCAATTAATTCATTTTTTGCTTAGTTTAAACCCATGTTGGTTGTTGCCATAAGGTGGTGCTGGATCTCCTGATCACCTTTGGTTGCGAGCTGAGATGCCAAGAATACATTGTGCCAATTAACCTTTTGAAATCCATTACATAGGTGTCACTACAAGGAGGCTTTCTACTGAGTTTGAGCCCTCAAAGTGGTTTCTTACTACAAGCCTCATTCACTCATCACACACACATTCATACAAGCAGTTTTGTGTATCATTTGTGTATCTTTCGCACACGCTCACACTCCAATGGATGGATTTGGGGAAGCTTAAAAGATTTAAATGGATGGGGATTCAGATACATTGACATGCAGAGTAGGGGGACCCACGTATTGAACCGCTGACCTTCCAATTAATAGACGCCTGAACCGCATCCGTCCTATTCAAGGAAACGTTTAGATCGAAGCAAACGCTAAATTACAAATTAAATGTCAGCATGAAAAAAAACGCATGCATGAATTCACACTATTATTCAAAGGCTTCTTGTAATCAAATGATTACTTTCATTGTCATGATCTCAAGGACTTGGCAGCTTACGTTGTTTTGGATTCATGGGGTGTTTCTATTCATAATCCTTCCTCTACAATGAAAGCTGCTGCCTGTGGACTGCAAACCTTCTCAACAGTGGCTGATATATCTTAAACATATTATAATGTGAGTTTAATTATTTGTGTGAAGTACACTTCCATTTTCTGGAGTTCTGACTCCTGTTTGTCCTTGTTTGTAGAAGAGACAGCGGGAGTTCGAAGACTACATCAAAGACAAATACATCACAGCCAAAGCTGACTTCAGGACACTGTTAAAGGAGACAAAGTTCATCACATACAGGTCTGTGCTTTGTTTCACATATGTTCAGTTTGCATAACCCGACACAGTTGTGCCCCTTCCTAGGAACTTGTTATAAATAAAGCTCATCTAGTCTTTATTTCTCTGCAACTTTAAGCAGATGGTGTGTTAAATGTTTAAGTGGAAAACTGGTGTGGGTGAAATCGTATTTATTTTTTATTTTTTTATAACCACACTGGAAGATTCTTGCACAGGTTGCATGACTTGAAACTGTAGTCTGCTCAATAGTGAGAATATCTGAATTACAGTTTTTAACCATTGTCCCTGTATCCCCACTGGCCTGCACTCACACTGCGCTGCACACAATTCACACCTGAGTATGCTTTAGTTTGTCTCAGCAGCTCGCTAGTCCTTGATGTGCCCACACAGAGCACAGTGAGGTTCAAGATTTTCAGAATCTTGTCTACAGTGTTAAAATAATACAACATAACAGAAGTGCTACTCCCAAAATAAAGAACACTACAAAAACAAGCCATTCACACAATAATCCAAGCCCTCTCAGTAAAAGATAATAAATAATTTTTAATATGAAGGAGTCGAGAATTAAATAGAACTTCTCATAGTGTATTGCAGTAATGATGCTTGATGTAGCACAGCTGAATAAAAACAGCTCTTTAGTCTACGTGTCCTTGTTTTGATGGACCTGTAGCATCTAGCACAGGTCAAACAGTGAGTGCAGAATGAGATCTGTCTTTAGTGACTCTTATATAAAGCTCTTGAGTGGTGTCTTTGCTTCTGCAGTCTCTTTGATTGCAACAGAAGACCAGAGCCAGTGATCTTTTCTGCTGGTTTTTTTACCCTCTGCAAAATAGTTTTTTTATCTGCTGCAGAGCATCCAGGATGCAACGTTGTTACATTTTGTAGCTTCATGAGGACCAATTTTAGAAGTGGTGACATGCTGTCAGTTAACACAGCTATTTTTACTGAAGGCAGCTATATGCAGCATGCCTGAGTCTAACTACATTGGGCTTAAAAACATTCAGCTCTAGAGCGAGTACACTCCATCCCCGGGACTCGGAGAGGGTGCTGTTCATCTTATTGTATTCCTGCTTGTGAGCGCGCTCTGCCTGTCTCCTTGTGCGCAGGTCGAGAAAGCTCATCCAGGAGTCGGAGCAGCATCTGAAGGACGTAGAGAAGATTCTTCAGAACGACAAGCGGTACCTTGTTCTGGAGTGTGTCCCAGAGGAGCGCAGGAAGCTCATCATGTTCTACATTGAAGATCTAGACCGCCGTGGCCCACCACCTCCTCCCACCGCCTCTGAGCCTACCCGACGATCTACCAAGTGACCAATCTAATTACTGTCTTGGCCAGTGCTGTACTCCTCCTCGCCCTCCCTTTGGCCAGAGCATGCCCTCCCCTCAGCACCCCTTGATCTCCGCTCTCCAGGCCCACGGCTGGCCATGCAGTGTTTTTTCAGGGGGGTTACGTTGCTTAGATGTGTACCATAGAGATGAACGGTTAACGTCTCTGTGTTATGTCAAAGTGATGAAAAAGCCCTGCGTTTGAGGCGCAGGGACTAGAGGTTACCTGATCCCAAGGTGACCCTTAACCCCTCACCTCTGACTGACCACATTAGAGGGAGGAGGGATAGCAATGAGGCTGCAGGTTGTGCAGCCACACAGGTGTAAGATAGCCGATGTAAATGAGGTTGAGTGTGTGTATGCATGTGATTGAGGCGTCCTTAAGCCTTACAGATCCACTGTGCCAGGTCATCTTTTCAGCGGCTCAGTGTGAATGTTAGTTTCTGCTCAGTGGTTCACTCCAATGTTGCAGCAGCTTCTCTGTTGAATGAAATAAAGACGACTTCCACTGTTTTTCAATATGCTGTGCTCTGGATTATTTGAAATGTCAAAATCGAGGTAACACTTTATTCTCAAATAACACATGTCAAAAAGTTAAGTCTTGCTGCTCAGCAAGAATCTTTAAGTGCACCGGGACACTTATTTAGGCAGTTATTAAAACTGCAAGTATTTATAAAATACTCCTTAACCCTGTAACAACAAGTGTATCATATTTTAAATGTGTGTTTTTGAAATTTATTTATTTTAGTGACAAACCTAAATAAATTGTACAATACACACAATTTTAAGTAATATATTGAAAAAAAAACCATATCCCTCCTCTGTACGTGTCCCAACCATCTCAGCCTTGTCTCTGTAATTTTGTCTCCAGAGCTGTCCCTCTGACACAAAACCACCTGAGGGGTGGAAATTTCCTGTGAAAGCAGTTTGCTTTATGGTTTCAGCTGGATGTAAACAGCCTCCAGTGACAGTGAGTCATTTTCTGGAAGGTATTAACTAATGCCAGCATTCCGCCAAGCAAGTGAAAGAGGCAACTGAAATCCAATCTCTCCTTAAAAAAAAACTTCACGTTCTATAAGAGGGCACCAGAAACAAAGCAATGAACAAAGATGCGTTCATCTGACAACCAAAAATGCTATATAATATATATATATTTTCTATAGATATCATTAAAGGTCTGCTTTTCAGCGTAATTTGGAAGCAGTAATCTTGAAAACCACTGACATGCACGACACAGCAGTCGGCCGTCTCTGATTGGTCGAAAAAATCTGTTTGGATCACGTGATATTGCCGGACGTAGACGTGAGTGGCGGTCCAACTGCTGCACCATCATCACCATCCATCCTTTGTGCTGTATTCTCGTCTTATTCGGCCTCATTTACTTACATGTTAATCGTCACTCCGTTGAGTTTCTACTGTTGTGAACGCACAGAGAAGGTAGAAGCTAGCCTCGTGTGCTATTAGCCTAACGGTCGCATCCTCTCCTCTCCATCCGATCATCGCTGCTTTGCTGTCGCTATGGGCTGCTCTTTGCTCCCTCTTTTCGTCGCTGTGTTGGCAGCCCGGTTTGTTGTCGCAGACCCGGAGGAACACGGTCCTGTCGACGGAGCTCCGCCTTCAAAGATAGGCAAGAAAAGCAGTTATTAAACCATCCTAGTTAGCTGTTTAGTTCAGCTAATGTTAGCCTCTCAGTCAGTCTGAGGGCTGATGAATAAGCAGCATCCATCAGGGGTCTCTGATACTGAAGATAAAGGCAAACACTAACCTAGTCTGAACATTGTGTGTCACGTGATTAAGAAAGCTTAATTATAGACACGAGTTATCTGTTAATTTGCTTTTTGAAGCAACCTTTATTCAAATAAACAGGAAGTAAAGCTTCAGCTGTCATCACCAGCCAGGAGGCCCAAAAAACCTAAAGATATGACGGAAAATATAAAAGCACAAAAGAGGAAATACAGCAAATCTTACACTTGAAAAAACAAAATAACAATGTGTTTGTTTGTTTGTTTTTTAAGTTAAACATCAAAGTAATAAATTCCTTTTAAATTCCTTTTTCCTTTTACATACAGTTGCAGTCAGAAGTTTTTCATACTGTCATCATAAGCATGATATTTGGTATTTTGGGTCTTTTTATGTTGTTGTTTTGCAAACAGCAAATTTACGCTGTATTATAGATCTCCGTAAGATTTAAGGCACATTTCATCACCCAACCTCACTCTGTGTCTCTTGCTCTCCAGCTGTGGTTGGGGCAGGGATAGGAGGCAGCGCCACTGCCCACTTCCTGCGGCAGCACTTTGGCCCAGAGGTCCAGGTGGACGTGTTTGAGAAGGGAGAGGTGGGAGGCCGTCTCGCCACCGTAACCGTCAATCACAACGACTATGAGTCTGGAGGCTCCATTATTCACTCACTCAACCTCCACATGCAGGAGTTTGTCAAGCAGCTGGGTGAGTTTATGGACAAAGACATTAATTAGTCACAGCAGAGGTCAGATTTTAAAATTTTTCTTTGCTTTTTCAAACCAGGGGAGGGATTCTTGCGTTTTTTTAAATATTCCCCAGCAAAAGCGATCACTTTACAAGAGGAAAATTAGAAACCTGACACTATGTTGGTCCTCCGTGTCGTCCTGTGTTTGCCCAAACAAGGTTTGAAGTATCGTCGCAACGTGGCCGGAAAGATGGCGGTATTTAACGGCGAAGAGGTGATTCTGGAGGAGACGGACTGGTACCTGCTCGACCTGTTCCGGCTGTGGTGGCGCTATGGTATTAGCTTCATACGTCTGCAGATGTGGGTGGAGGAGATTATGGAGAAGTTTATGAGGTGAGTCAGAAATTTTAGTGCCTTGATTTTATTATTTTGTCTCTTCAGCTTCTTTGCATGTTGGACACTTGATGGGATGTGGCAGGGGTGCCGCTACAAACTGCACTGTCAGGGTATCATAACTTTGTTGTGGGTGTCTCTGCAAGTGGAAGCAAAGCTTTGTTTATTTCTTAATGCTCATTTTTTCTCCTGCCTTTTTCTGGTGGCAGTATTATAAGTTGATTAGTGGTAATGACAGGAATACTCCAAAATTGGCACTGCAGATCCAGCTGAGTCATTCATGCCTTGAGTGCTTTTCTTCCCAAAATTGTTTTTTCTATCTCAAAGATAAGGTCTTGCCCTTAAAATGTGCACAGCATTCCCTTCTGGTGTTGCAGTCAGTGGGGGAAGCCTGTTTTTGAGCTATTTATTGCTCTCTGCGCCTTAGGCATCTGCAGCCATAATAACTGCAAAACCTTGACTCATTGTGTGCCTTTCCGAGCATGAGGTCTGCGTAAATATAGATAGCCATCTGCCTGGGATTTGCCAGAGAGAAAGGACCACTGACATGAAACTTGTCTCTATCCTCCATCAACACAAATATACAGTGTAGAATTGCATGAGTGTATTTCAGATATCATGTCAAATCTTTTGCTTACATTTATATTTCCTCTGCTCAGTTTTGCCTTGAAAAATGAACCAGAAACAGAATTTTGCTTTTTCCTTCCTCCACCACCAACATCTATTTCCTCCCTCAGGAAGTGATTTTTATCTCTTCATCACTTTTTTCTTTCTTTTCTTCTCTCTAAGTCGACAACCACAAGCCTCTATATCTTTCTCTCCGTCTCTGATTTGTTGCCAATAGATTATTGCTGACTGAATAACTTTGAGCAGGAAACGAAACCAAAAAACAAAACAAAACATCTCCATATTGCTCTGTCTACTGATTTAGTCGTTAACTGTTATAATTTGTGTGTCTGTGCATGTGAAATATAGGATCTACAAATACCAGGCCCACGGCTACGCCTTTAGCTCCGTAGAGGAACTGCTGGACTCTCTCGGGGGCAGCGGCTTCATCAACATGACCCGGAGGCCACTGTCCGATTCGCTGCTGGAGCTGGGTGTGTCCCAACGCTTCATTGATGAGGTTATCGCACCCGTGATGAGGATCAACTACGGACAGAATGTCAGCATCCCAGCCTTTGTAGGTCAGCTAAGTGGGAAGATGCAAGCAGCAGTGGAGGAAGAAGTGAAGGGGTGATGAGTAGTGAAGTAAGAGGGCAACAGCTGTGAAGGTGCATTCGGGGACAGTTATGACCTGAACGTCTTCCTTTCCGATTTGGCTCAGGAGAAAGGAAAGGACGAGAGAGGAAAAGAGATGCAGGGTTGAGAGTAGAAGAGGAAGGCAAGGTGAGAGGGGAGCGGGGTGGTCTGTGGGAGTGAGAGAACAGGAAAGCGTGTGGGCAGCTGATAATTGGTTTAAAGCACTTGGCACTGTCTGTTCAGCGCGCGTGTGCTTGTGTGTGTTTCAGGAGCTGTGTCTTTAGCTGGTGCCCAGAACAACCTGTGGGCGGTGGAAGGAGGCAACAAGCTGGTGTGTTCAGGCCTGCTGAAAATGGCCAGTGCTAACCTGCTGGAGGCACAGGTCAACTCCATCTCTCCCATCCACTCAGGTAACGCCATCCTGATGTGTCCTGTTTTTTAAGGGTTTTTTTCAGCTGTGACAGCTTTACTGGTATTGATTATTCTTTGTGAGTCTGTGTGTCCTTTGTATATTATAATCCACCTGTTGTGTTGAAGAGGGAGCTGAACATAAAAGCAAACATGAAAGAAAGAATGAGATGGTTTGTCATCCACAGAGCTTTTTTTGTAATACAGGAGAGGGACTCCAGTACCAGCTGAGCTTCACCACGGCAACAGGGACGGCATCAGAGCTGTATGACATTGTAGTGTTGGCGACGCCTCTACAGGCTAGCGTCGGGTCTGGAGTCCAGTTTCAAGGTTTCACGCCTCCGTTTGATGAGCTGCCTGGCAGCTATCACAGCACTGTAGCAACCATCGTCCATGGTTACCTCAACACTTCCTTCTTTGGGTTCCCGGACCCCCGTCTGTTCCCTTTCGCCAGCGTCTTGACGACTGACACACCTGATCTGTTCTTTAACAGCGTGGCTAGTGTTTGTCCCGTCAACATCTCAGCAGGGTTCCGGCGTAAGCAGCCGCAGGAGGCTGGAGTCTACAAGGTGTTCTCCCCACAGCTGCTGGAAAAGTCTCAGCTCAAAACACTATTCAGGTCAGCCATGTTCTTCCCAGGAGTTGATCCCATAGTCATGCCTGGGCAATTCTGTATTTGTTTGGTCCAAAGTAAAGCCTGACGGATATGAGATTTTTAAAACCAATCTGTAAGAATCCAATATATTGGCCGATTATGTTCCCTAACGTTTCTTAAGTGTAGTTATGTAAGAGTCAGTTTAGTTTAAAAATAAACTTGATTTGTGGTTACAGCAAGTCGTGGAAGACTCCACGTTTACTTGTTTAGGCTCTGACTGGTTCAGCTGTTGTTTGTGCTTTTATTACATGTTTGAAGGGTATTTCTACCATCTCGTCCTATTGAATTTGTAATGTATCAGCTGTGATAAATGCCAGCGCTGATATCGGTAAATATCAGTCAAGCTCTAATGTAAGTTTTTAAATTTACTATTGTATAAGACAGAGAAAACCAGCAAATATTCCTATTCAGGTAGTGAAATTTAGGTATTTATGTTTAGGGGAGAACATTTTTTGTTATCAGAATCCTCTAAATACATTATAGTTGTTTTTTTTATTTTATTTAAAAAGGTTATTTAGTGATCTTACCACCCACATAGATCATTGGCTGCTTTACTCTATCATACTGTTCTCTTCAATTTTAGGTCGTACTACTCAGTGCAGGTGACGGAGTGGCAGGCCTACCCTCGCTACAGCAGCAGCCAGCGGCTGCCACCTGTGGAGCTGCACCCCAATCTCTACTACCTCAATGGGATTGAGTGGGCTGGTAGCGCCATGGAGATGAGCTCAGTGGCTGCCAAAAACATCGCCCTGCTAGCCTACCACCGCTGGAATAGACAGACAGACATGGTGGACCAGAGAGATCTGGTGCACAGGATCAAAACCGAACTATAACAAACGAATGCTAAGACCCAGATGAGTAATGTGATGTATGTCTGAGTGTATGGACTCACCCAACCAAATTATAAACTTTTTGTGATTTTGACCAGTGGCAAGAGAATTTAGATGTCCATTTATATAATATAACCTTTCGTGAATGTATCGAATTTATTCAGTCAGTACAGTAAGTTGAACATAACCCTGCTGCCTCCTAACTAAACGTAAACATCAAAAACCATAAGTCATTATATTGGCACCATTATAGACTCTGGTCCTGCTCTGCTACTCAAAAGGCCTGTTTCACTTCACTGATTCTCTGTGCCACATAAAAGAGACATGTTGCACTTTTGTTTGTGGATTTATTGCCGATGCTAATTGGCAGTTTCCATCCAAAAATGATGCCGCAAGGACCTTTCCTTTGCCAAGAAGTAAGAAAACCAAGCAAATATGGAGAACACCAGCTGGCGTACTGTATACTGTACGGACTGTTAGGAGGTGGTAGTGCTATTAATGAACACCATTGAATATAAATACCAGTTTACGGTTTTGGTACTGCTCTTCTTAAACAAATGTTTCTGTTTCCAAGCCAAGAAAGCGTTTAGAACAATAAGCTGTTGTACAGTATGTAACTGATTTAACTTTGTCATCTAATCAAAACCACAGCACTGCTGCTGCTACTCTCTGTAAATGTAGGGACTGTTAATGGACTGGTTGTTGCCACCAATGAAATCTCATTAAAGTAATCTCAGTAGGATTTCTGTAAATTAATAATTATTCACCAACCCATGGTAGTGGCCACTGGTGCAGTGCTCTATTGTCCCTTTCATCATTATCTCCCCTTCCTGCTGCTTTTGTTGCATAATCCAGCAGAATTTTTATTTTTTTCTTCAGGGAAATGAGCCAGCCAGCTTTGACAGTGGACTGAATAAAAGCAGAGGACAGATCCGTGCTGCTGCTGCTGCTGCTGCTGCTGCTGCTGCTGCTGCTGCTGCTGCTGCTGACCACAAATGTTTCCATTTTCTCGCAAGCATTAAAAGCCTCAGTGGGAAAAAAGCTTTTCTGCTGAGGACTTTAATCATGTAAAGCACACACATGAAAATTTTGGGTTTCACTTTCAGAATGGGGAAAAGGTTTTTACGAAGACACAATGAGAAATCACTGACAGCTGATTATCTTCATGTGACTGAGTAGTCTTGTTTTCTGAATTTCTAATTTATCTGCACTGGATTTGGGCTGAAGTGGATTTCTAGAAAACCTTGTAACTCCAAAGGGCTTCAGTTGATGGATAATGTGATTTCTGTTGTGTGTTGAAAAGTGGCTGATGACACTGATTTAAAACACTGTGATGGCCTCAGAATCAATGTGGTGGAAACTGTGTATTTTTAGCCTTTTTTTTTTTTTCCTTCAAATTTCAAAAATTGCTTCTTTAGGCAGAACAGTACAATTTGTAGCCCCAGTGCTCGTATATAAATCTTCTAGCGAATACACATCTCAATACTGTTCAGACTACTTGTCTGTGTCAGCTGTAAAGTTCTGATCATGAAAACATGATCAAATTAAAGACGAATGGGGTCTGAAATTGGAATTATCTGGCAAACTCCTGTATTTATGGTCTAAATATTCCCGTCCCAATTTGTGCACTCTGAATAGTACAGTAGTACTTAAATGACGGGGGGTGGGGTTCCTCTACAAGTAAAAATTAGTATAGTCATAAAGATGTAATAAAGCTGTACTGTAAGAACAGAGTGAAAGTAGTAATAAATTGCCCCTTGGTATTACTCATTATACTGTCAGGTCCATAAGTATTTGTATAATGACACAATATTTGCATTTTTGTCTTTGCATAGCACCACAGTGCTGATTTTCATCTTTAGTTGAGTGAGTTTATCAAACGTGTTGCATTAACTGTTTGGAAATTACAGCAATTTTTATACAGAGTTCCCCAGAGGCTCAAAAGTAATTGGACAAACATAATTTTAAATACCAGAATTGTTTTAAATACTTTGATGAAAATCGTTTGCAGTCCAATCCTCTGAAGTCCAGAACCCATGGACATGACCAGATGCTGTGTTTCCTTCTTTTAGATACTCTGTCAGGCCTTTACTGCAGCCGCCTTCAGCTGCTACTTGTTTTTGTGTCTGTGGCTTCAGGTTTGTCTTCAGTAAATGAAAAGCATTCTTTAATAAAGGTCAGATGTTGTAAAGATTTTTTTATTAACCATTGGAAATAATTCTGTCATAATGCACTTTAGTTGTTTTCTGTGATCTTTCAGGCCTTTTGATGTTTCCGAGTTGGTCAGTGCATTCCTTCTTTTTCGCAATGTACCAGATTGTTTATTTAGCCACTCCTAAAGTTTTTCCTGTCTCTCTGTATGTTTATTTTGGTTTTCAGCCTAATGATGTCCACCCCCACAGGCATCAAGTATTTCTTCTTACCTGATATAGAGTTCCAGTGAAGAGCTATCAAATCGAAGGTCAGCTCCAGATCTTTAATCTGGCCATCAATGTGCTTGTCGCATTATTGTTCAATTAATTTTGAGCCTTGGAAAATGAAGGACTGAATAAAAATGTCTGCAGTTCCTAATCAGTTAACGAAATGCTTGTTATTGTCCAAATACTTAACTAACTGTACATGACCTTATTGGTTTGTATACAGCATGTTATTCTTGTAGCTGGCTGGTAAGGCAATTTTACCTACTTGACATCCAGCTGGGGAGTTCAGTCCAGTGATTCCTGTCCTTGGGATCAAGTCCTCCATATGAGAGATCTGAGGGGCTATTGAGGGGGCTTGACCACCTAAAGACTTGATAACAATAATGAGCTGAGGGCTATTTCTGTGCTAGAGGTCAGATGCCTTAATTCACTCGGAACCAACAAGTTAATGTTTAACAAAGTGTTTAATTTCACAAAATGTCATACACTGATTGTAAAATATTGTACTTGCCTAAATGTATTTCTTTTTGAAATGTAAAAATGAAGTGGCATTAATCAACATGTTGCATTTAATCTTTCTGATGCACATAATAATGCATTTTAGAGTAATTTGCATTTTTCTCTGACTGTTAATAGAATAAAAGTTATTCTATTGTAGCGAGCTATTGTTCATTTTGGCTTTCAAACAAGGACACTAAGAAGTCTACTTCAGTGCTGACTATTGGTGCTGCAGACAGGGTTTCATTTCTTCTCTATTAATAATTACACATAAGAAAATTGATTTGTTCAATAATGCAAAGTCCTGAAAAACAAGCCTCCTGGTGTCCAGTGAAGTTTTAATTCTGTGCTCCAGTTGGCATATAATCTAAATCACTCTGACAGGGTAAGTACTTATTCCACAATGAATTATTCGTTTTGTTTTTCCTGTCACTGCGTCTGTACCTGGAGAATTAACCTTATCTCCAGGAAGATTACCCAAGGTCCTTTGGTCGTTCTCTGGATCACAGAATTTCTGATGTAGATCAGATCAGATGGTTACTGAAGATAAAGACATTAAAAACACATTTTAATCATCTACTGAAAGAAATGCAATTAAATATATTTCCAGGTTATTACATGTAAACGGATGATGGTGCTGCTGTAGGAAACTTAAGGCAATAAAAGCCATCTCCAGGCTTCCAGCAATGTAATGTAACATATAATGGGCTCTGTAGCTTCTCCTGCTTGGCTTCCTAGCAGCAGGAAAACAATCACACTGCTGAAAATAGAACGCAAGTCTCCCAAGGCTCAACCACTTATGCACTTTTTCGTCATTCAATCAACCGGGTTGATGGGCACATAGCCAACTAGGTCAAACTCTTATAATTAAATATTTATGTGACCATTACCCTGTTTTACAAAGGCTTGATGAGTTATGACCATAGTCATAAATCATCAAGCCTGTCATCATGCACCTTTATATACTTCATAACTCATAATGAATTGACTGAAGATGTTTTCTTCAGATGCAAGGTTCCCCTTGATTTTAAATACTTGGGACATTACATCATTAGTAATGAAAACTGAACAATAAAATATCTCTCCAGTCGTTTTTATAATGCTTTTAGGTTGTTTACACCAGCAGGCCAGACCAGGAAATCTTTTTTTTTTTTTCCAATCTTCTATCTAATTTTGGTGAGCCCATTCCTCAGTTGCTGTAGCCTCAGTTTCCTGTTCTTAGCTGACAGGAGTGGCACATGGTTTGGCTTTCTGCTTCAAGGTTTCAAGTGTTGTGCACTCACCAATGCTTTTCTGTGTGTTTTTGGTTGGAAAAAGAGGTTATTTGAGTTACTGTTGCCTTCCTATCAGCTTGAGGCAGTCTGGTCATTCTCTTCTGACATCAACAAGGCATTTTTACTCAGAAAATTGCTCCTCGCTGGATATTTTCTCCTTTTCAGACCATTCTCTGTAAACATTCTCATCACAAACACTCAGACCAGCCCATGTGACACCAACAAACATCCAACATTCATGCTGATATCACCTTTCTTCCCCCTTCTGATGCTCGGTTCAAACTTCAGCAGGTTGTCTTGAGTATGTCTATATGCCTAAATGCACTGGGTTGCTGCCATGTTATTGGTTGATTAGATATTTGTAATAACGAGCAGATGAGCAGGTGTGCCTAATAAAGTAGTTGGTGAGTGTATGTATCATACAGACACAAGCCAAATGGTTTATCTTTATCTGAAATACATCTACTGATTATAGCATTTTTTTTAGAGAATTATAAATTGCTATTAGACATATTTTAGATGTGGGGTAAGTGGTTAAGAAATTGGACTGATGGATTTACAACTACATGCTTATAAATGCTGAAAAACTAGTTGATGCATTAATTACTTCTAGGGTGGACTGCTGCAATTCATTATTATCAGGATTTCCTAAAAACTCCCTGAAAAGCCTTCAGTTGATCCAAAATACTGCAGCAAGAGTACTGACAGGGACTAAAAAGAGAATCCAGAATTGAATTCAAAATCCTGCCCCTTACATACAAGGTCTTGAATAATCAGGTAGTACCATATCACCCTGTTACAGCACTTTGCTCCCAGACCGCCAGTTTATTTGTACTTAAAAGTAGAATGGGGGGCAGAGCCTTCAGCTTTCAGGCCTCTCTTCTCTGTAACCAGCTTTGAATTTGGATTTGGGAGACAGACACCCTCTCTACTTTTAAGATTAGGCCTAAAACTTTCCTTTTTGCTAAAGCATATGGTTAGGGCTGGATTAGGTGGCCCTGAATTTTCCCTTAGTTACGCTGTAATAGGTGTAGGCTGCTGGGGGATTTCCATGATGTACACTGGCTCTCATCTACAACATGTCTTTGTCCTGTCTTCCTCCCCTCACCCCTACCACTTGTGGTAGATGATCAGTATGTAGTACTATGCAGTATGATCCTTTTCTAGGCTGGCGGAACGATAACTCATAACCAAAAACGTGTGCTAAATAAAGGGATTTAATTGATAACAGTGCAGCTGAGTGGGCAGACACGAGTTGCTCTGAGGATGCAGTGAATTCCTGTGAAATCTAATTTCAGCAGAGGCTCAGAAATTCCACAGAACTCTCTCTCTCTCTCACTCACTCACTCACTCACTCACTCACTCACTCACTCACTCACTCACACACTCACTCACTCACTCACACACACACACACACACACACACACACACACACACACACACACACACACACACAATCCATATTTCATACTGTTCTCTTCTATCTGATTCTCTCCCATCCCTTACCAGCCTGGCCGAGCTTCCCACAGGCCGTTTGATGTGCATGTGATCTGTTTATTCTGAGGCTATTAAATCAGTGGAAGTCTGTAAGACTGCTGTATTCAGCTGACAGATACAGATGGGAAACAAATTAAAGAGGAAAAACTGACACATATTTGTCTTAGTGAGGTATTGGTCCACCATATGTTACCAGAACAACTTAAGTCTGCCTTGGAAGTCTGCAGAAGAGATCGATGTGATTCTTTAAGAGAGTCCTCTGACTGCAAACCCCCACATCTGAAGACCACCCATCAAACCCCCCCCAACTATCGTATTATTAACCTCACTACTGTACTAACATTTTTTGGACTTTCACTTTTTGGACTGAGTAAAAATGAAACTGAAAGAGCTATGTTGTTTCATTTTCTGTTAAAATAACTAATTTTTTTCTGCTCCCTTTCTCTCATCAAGACTTTTAGTTCAGATCAAAATATAAGTCGGATCTTTTTTTTTTCAAGGATGTTTTAATGGTAAATTTAAATTTGTTTGTGGCAGTCTGTACCCGTGTTGACACTTGGTGGTTTCTCTTTCCAGTGAAGAGGTGGGTGGAGGCTGCCTGGAACAGTTGGCTTTATGACCCCCTTTTGGATAATTTATTTTGGAATGAACTCAATGGAGACTTACTCTGTTAGTCCTGCTTTTCCTCAGTCAGAGAGCTGAAAGCTTTTAAATTATATTTTTCAGCTTGCCACTGCTTCTTCGGTGAATCTGGAAGGATGTGTCTGTTCTTCGACAAGGACACTAAGTTGTTTTATCATATAGACTCTTTGTTAAAAAGCTGTTTGATAACTTTGTTTGTTCTTTACTCAGTTAGTCATAACCATGGATGTTCATTTGATCTCGCCAGGAACTCGCATGGCATCTGAGTATATTCTCACTTTATCACCCCATCATTATCACTCCTCAAAACTTTTAAGGAGAACTGTGAAGGGAATCTGTCCGTCCTTGCTCAGTGTTAGTAACTGCACACCCATAGAGTTTCCTGTTTTTATTCAGGGTTATTGACTGATTCATAAAGCCCAACACATACCAAAAATTTTCACTGTTGCAGTCGTGTTTATGTTCTCTCCCTTTATGCCTCTGTCAGTGTTTTGTTTTTTTTAGTTTTTTTTAGCTTATTTCAGTTGTGTGTTTGTGTGATGTGTTTTCCACTGCCTGACCTGGTTTTGAGTCTTGTAACATTTCAACTGTATCTGAATGTTTCAACTATGTTTTGCAGATAGTTGTAGACGTTCTCTCCTGACCTTCACCATTCATACTGATGGTGTTTTGTTCTTAATGTTTTCAAATTTGGATTCATCACTCCATAAGTTCTTGTGTAATTTGACATACCTCAACCTTTTTGCCTTGTTTCTCTTCCTTATTAATGGCTTCTTGACAGCCACCCTTCCACTGAGACCATTTCTGATGAGGCGTCAGTGAGCAATAGATCATCTGAAGGATCAGATGCATCTCTCAGGTGTTGTGTCAGGTCTTTGCTATACTTTTCCCCATTTCTTAATGACATCTGCTACAGATAGACTTTTAGCATGTCCCCTTCTTCTTTTGTCCTCCACTTTTTTAAGGACACACTGCACACTCAAAGGACACACTAAGGATATATCCCAAGTTTTCAGCTAACAGCTTTTTGGGAATCACCTTCTTGGTGCAAAAATGCTATTTTATCTCTCTCAAACTGTGTTATCTTTGGCATTTTTGTAGATTCAGCAAAAGTTTTGTGACTAAAGATTAAAAAAAAATAAACTGGTACTTTGCTAAGTTGTTTGTTATGTGTAGAAACAACACTGGTTCATCCCTTGAGTCAGATGACTTTGTGTGTTTGAATGATTCATAGATCAGAGTTCACTGTCTTAGCAAACAAACACACAAACAAACAAAGAATATTCCTCTGAAAATGCTTAGGTACAAGGACTGGGCCAAAAATGAATGAAAAAGCAATCGGTGTCTAAACAAAAACTTATTTAGACACTGATTAGACCCTTCCTAATGCCTGACGAACAATTCAAAATCACTTTAAACATACTATAGCGAAACACGATTCCCAAGAAACACAAAAAATCTAAAGCTTTCTAAATAAAATGTAAGAAATTAAAATAATAATAAAAATTATAAATTTGGGGATAGTTTCTTTTGAGTGCTTGGTCTCAGTTTTCTAAAGCAGACAGAAGTCTAATAAATTGTTTATTAAATAATGAGCTGAACCTCCTCAAGAAAGTGGGAAACAATGGTGAAATGTTGCAGGATGTTAAGGTCCAGCCTCGAGCTGCTCTCCCATTGGCCCTGCGGCGCACCACGTGGTAAGGCAGTCACGCGCTTTCCAGGAACCCGTCAGGAAGAAGAAAAACAAAACAAACCCGAGAGAGCTGTAACAGCGTGCGGACTCCATTGAAAAGGGAACGTTATTATCTCTAACACGGGACACACACGAGGTCCAACACCGAGAGAAACGTGTGTGGGGGCGTCCTCAAAGTGAGTACGACCGTTTTTCATCCGTTTCGGGGAAAGTTGGGCTTGGCAGCGGATGGGTGTTTTCATCGCCGCGGCGGATTAGCTTTGAAGCTAACTGTCGGTCGGTTGTTGTTGTGTATCGGGCTTCAGCTGGGATGAGGAAGGGGGCGGACGGAGGCCATACTGACTGAGGCTGCAGCTGAAAAGGAAGCGAGACTGTCCAGTTCCGCGTTAAAAACACAACCAGAAGGAATAAAACACGAGCTGTTTGGTTGTTGTTTTTTTCTTCTTTTCTGTTTTTTGGACCGCAGTTTGTTGAGCTCCTGTAGGAAGTGGAGAAATGTGGCTAGCTAATGCTTTACGACGAGCTCAGGTAAATTTCGATCACCGAGCCTAAAAACCTGTCCACAAAAGACAGACTGTTTAGCTGATGTAGTCCTCTAAGGTGTAGTGGGTCAGTTCCCAGAAGTGACTGATTCTGGATCAGCGTGGTCAAAAGTGTACTTATGTAAGAAGATTGGCTTGAACTCTACTTTAAAACTACCTACAGTCATCCTGCACGGCTTGGAATGCACTTAAAACTACACAGCATGCCTTTATATGTGTGGCAGAGCAATTGTAGACTGTTTGGAGGTGTATTTGTGGTAGGAAAAGCCTCGGTAGTCGCGTGAAACCCCTTCTACTGTGACTTTTTGCAGGCAGCCCGAAGTCTCATTAAGGTACACGCCCCCCAATGCACAACACATCGAGAGCAGCTGGAAAAAAAACTCGACACAGCCAGAAATTTCCATGTGGTTGAAGGCAAACAGCAGACTTATATTTTCACCGAGGAAATGGCCTTAGTGACGATTTATTAGTGTTATTATATTACTTTGGGTTTTCACCTTGATAACTGCTTTATAGTTTATCGTCTGGATTGGGCACTTAAACGTTTGATTCAGTGTTTCTTCTTCGATATAAATGACTAAACGTGCCCCAGATTGAGTCGTACTGCAGTGCTGCGTTGAGGTTTTGTGGTAGGTGGTGGATTTTACTTTAAATATCTGTGAAACACGGTTATCTAGGCCACGGGCATGTAGGCCTCCAAGTTGTTTATCTTCTGCCTCAACCTAGGCTGAATCCAGGCTGTTTGTGATGAAGCAGCTCGTTTGATTGACGGCTGCGACGGCTATTCCAAGACACGTAGAGGCGGGACATATTCTCAGCTCGGCCAATGGAGGATTGGGATTACGTGGGTGTTGGCACAGAATGGTTAGTTTGAGGCTTTGTTTTGCTTTGCTGAGGATCTGTGATGAGTGCAGTGACTGGTGAGATACTGGTGACATTTATGGGTTTACTGGTGTTTTGTAATAGGCCATTTGTAATGTACACCACTCCGGTATACTCCGATTATTGTTTTGATGCGCACGCTTTTGCAAAACAAATGCATCCACCACAAAGTGGTGCAAATATGTGCATGGAAGACATTTAGTAAGAAGCAGATAGTATTTGCGTCTTTGTGCAGGGTTGATGTTACAACGCTCACCCTGCATTCATCACCTTTTATCTGTGCTTGATTTTAGTTATGAGTGCTCCTTTTAACAGGATAAAAACATCTGTGTTGTACCATACAGTTATCAGGCCATCATATGCCTCAAATGCAGGGTAGTTTAAAAAAAATGCCTTCAAGCATGAAATACTGATTTTATTTGCTTTTATCATAAATAATTTGAAACCATATGTTATTGAAAGCAGTGCTTTTCATGAACAGGAGAAAAGGATCCTGGATAGCAAAGTAATTTTACCATTGAAGGAATGCTGGGATCAGAGCGCGCCAAACCTAATTACCCAAAAGCCTGTCCTGCAGTGCTGATAGTGAACTTGAGATTGATTTGAAAATATTTTAGACTCCACTGGTTTATTGGGGATCACCAGATTTAACTGTTTTGTTTGTTTGTTTTTTAAATTGTTTGTTTTTTTGAATTTTAACTTTGTTTGTTGCAATCTTGTGACTGCTTTAAGACCTTTAAACAGCTCTTCTTTCTGTATAGTTTCCAAATGATTCACGTTTATCTACGCCTTTCAAAGCAGGCCTGTCGTGGCAGGAGAAGAGGAGGTAGCTGAGTCGCATGAATTTTTGCCACAGTGGTATGCATTACGTTTGTCTGTGACAATCCAATTAATTCAGTTAAGTTTCACGTCTCGTTTTTTTCTTTCGATCACGTGCCCGCCCAGCACAATGACTCTCTGTCCTTCTCAAAGGCAGCCAGCCGCCCTGCAGTTTTGGAACTGCTGTGTTACCTGTAATCTTCTTGCAGGTATGACGTTGTGGACTAAAATCAAACATCTGAAGTGAAGTAGGCGTCAGCCATCAGTGCTTATATATAGTGAAATGATTGATGTTTGTCAGATGCTGAATGCAAAGATTACTGAGCTGCAGGGTTAGTGAAAACACTGTCATAAGATTCAAGATTCAAAGTGTTTATTGTCATGTGTCACAAGAGAAAAGGCATTTCTTTGTGCAATGAAATTCTTTCTTTGCTGTCCACCCACAGATGCCAATTAATATATACAATAGAAATAGAACATATAAATACAAATAGTACAAATAAAAAGCTGAAGACAGAAAAGGAGACAAAATATGGAGATTTGAAACAGACGTGTGCAAAAGAGCTATAGCTTAATATGCTGGCTTAATATATAAACATATTCAATTTAAAAAAAAGTCTCTGAATCTTCCCATGTGAAGTTGCTGCGTTAGCTCTTTCTCCGCATAAAGACAACATTTTTTTGCAGCTTTGAAAACCTTTAGGATTTGTATCTGGTTTTTCTGTGCTGCATAGGCAGAGACCATCCTCACTAACTTCGTGTGCAAACCCTGTCATTTTGTTCTATAAGCAGGCTTGAAATATGATAGAAACCTCTCAGTTCAGAAAAGCGAAACAAGAGTTAAGATCTGTTCACTGCGGAGGATGCTGTGGTAAAAGCTGCTCAGTGAACTGAAATCAGTCTCAAGATTTAAAAATCAAATCCTTGCTCATGCTGAAGTTTAAAATAACAGTTTTTCATGGAGTTTGTAAAAAAACTGAACATTGTTTTTCTTAAAAATGCATGAAACTGATTTCCAGATATATAAGAGCAGAGAGAAAGAAATAGATAAACGTCTGTTGGTACATCCTTAATAAACACAGCTGCTTTTCTAATGTTGGTATATGTTTTAACATGGAAAATCTCAAGGTGTAAGATAGTTACCTAAATGTGAAAAGCAACTTAAAGTTATTAATATTTTTCTCTGTCAGAAGACAAACACTGTGATCATTCATCACTAGATGATTCCTCTGAATGGCCGACACATAATCAATAATTGCCAGCTCTAGTGCCAGCTCTGTGCCTGTACCACTTAGTCGTAAACTTATGTATAAATAAATAATCTCCAGCCTTTAAGCACAGTTGCCTGTCAGTGAGCGCTCATACCTAGTTTTCTTATACGACTTATGGATTGGTGACCTTTTCTGATATTTGCAGACTTCCTCACATGTCCGTGCTCAGAAACAGACTGCTGTCTCATGCTTGTTATCACTGTAGGGATCATGGGCTGACTGCTATCAGTAGGTAACTCATTCCAAATAAGACACTGCTGACTGGCCTACTTGGACCACGTCCAGTGTTGTGGAGAACGAGAGCTGTTTGCATGATAGCGCAGCTCATGATTTGAACTCAACACTCAACTCCCCCCTTTTTTTCTTTTTTTAACCCTCAGTGCACTGAACTAATAGGGAAGAGAGGAAACAAACACCACTGGGTTTTAAAAAAATGATTTTTTAAATGCTTTTTTCCACATATAAATGTCTGAAGCTTCAAAGTTAATGGTCGCCTTTGAACGCTACTTTCCCACAAATCTATAGATTTAGTCTCAGCACAGTGACACATGTTGCACTCTCACACTTATAGTCACGCTTTCTGTTTTGCTTTTAATTTTAGTAAATGGTTTTTGGTATTGAAAATGCAGCAGTTTCGCTATCGGCTCATTATTTGCTATCGTTTTAATCATTCAGTGCAGTGATGAGAAACGAGGAGCAGGTGTTGTTGTTACTTTTTAAAATTTCCTTTATTTAACCACAAGTGTAATTATTGAAAATCGCCAAGGCCAAGATGGGTAGCAGGTCAATCAGCAGTGGCTACATACATACTCTAATAATGCACACATGAATACACAGCAAAGCACACAAAATAAATATACACACATAGGTGAGACACATACATTATAAACATTAAAAATAATGCAGCTTAAAACTTGAGAACATGTTTTAAATGTGGGGGAAACCTTTGAGAGAGGTTTAAAAAAATGATATCAGGGATCTTAAATATTACCCATAAATAACAGCTGGCATTAAGCAGATACACCAGCGTTATGATCAGTTTATGACTGCAAGGCTTACCTTGTTATGTTTGCTTCAGTCATGTGGCCTAGGTGGGTCTGTATGCTGCTTAAATGGGATGAGACATCTCAACATGTGTTATTGTTAAAAGGATATGCTGGCTTGGGCTACTCAGTGCACCACAGGTGTATAAATGGTGCAGGCCAGTGTCTCCATCTGATGGGATACATTTTTAAATTACTCAAATGCAAGGCCCTCTTTCTGAACTATGGCCAAAGTCTTCTTCTGAAGCCTGAAAACAGAGCTGTGCCCAGATCAGGTGCAGAGTCAGATCGTCTGAATTACAACGTGCTAAAAGGTTGTTTTGATATTTTGTTGACTTCACAAGCTTTAATAAATACTAACAGATCAGCTGTAAAATGTTGCATTCAGTGGTATTTTTCTACTGGTTGACATTTATATCAATCACCCAGTGTTTGTTCATTGTACACAGAAACAAAGACAACTATTTTAAGCATTTTGTAGACAAGAAACCATAGATTTGCAGTGAAATAGCGCTATGACCAAAAAAGCCAAAATTAGTTGCCAAGAGTTGTTATAGAGAACAACAATTCATATTGTAAAAATGGTGTAAAGCGTGTGAGCAGAATGATGCAGCCAGAGTGCATCCTAGCAGCATAATCAGAAGTCATTTACATTACTGATGGTGAGTGCTGTGTTTTATTACTTGGTCTGGATGGGTAAAAGCTGACCCTGAGTTCAGACTCAACCGAGATGTAAACATTATGCTGCAAAAGAATCTGACCTGTTGAGCGACTTTTTCTATCTTCATAGCAAGCCTTATAAAAGAAAGAAAGAAAATCTTTAATGTTCCCAAAAGCAGCCTTGGAGAAAAAACAGAAATGATTGAGCTCGTACAAGAATGCTGATATAAGCGGAGGTTGCTGTGGCCTTAAATAAAGCTCAGTCCTAATGTACAACACCTAATGGAGGCGCTTTTATCTCTGAAGTCCAACCAAACAGAGAGAGGAATTCTTCTTCTGGGTTCTTGCAGCCTGCCACGGTCGGTCATAAATATCTGGCTCTGCATCACAGCCTGTGTCACCCACTGGGTAGTGAGTTGGATTAAACTGTGCTGCTGGAAAAGATTCAGTGCTACTTCGACTGGATAACGGTGGCTCATTTTCCACATGTTTTTGAGGACCTCTGGTTGTGGACACGGGCTTTCTGTTTCCCCTCTGTGATAGCAGCGAGTTTGGATTGATGCTGTTGTTATTGTTCAGGCCATATATGTCATCACTCTGCTTTTTTTTTCTAAACATGAAACCAGACACAGCTGCCCAGGAAGGAAGTGCACATCATGATATGGTAATAAGAGAATTTGTATTTCAGAGGAGGAGGAGCTTCCAAATGGGTGACCAAGGTGGTTAGTGTGTATGTGTGTGTGCAGAGACTTGTTTACTCACATGTGCATTGATGTTGGTGAAGGTGTTGCTTTTACAAATGCATTTGTCCCAGAGGCGTGCACGGCTGTGTATTTTTTTTTTTTTTTTTTTTTTTTTGCCCACTTCCTGTCTCTATGCAAAAGTGTGTATACATAGCTCAGGGGTGAGAAGTTCATTTGCAAGAGGAAGTGATGTTGTTATCTTGCTCAGAGAGGAGTGTGATTCGTGTGTGATATTGTGTTGACAGATTGCTGCTGGGGTCGTGTCTCCACGCAGACTCTCGTGTGTTTGCTATGCAAAAGCAGCAAAAGGACCAAAGATCAATCTAAATGTTGCCATCATTTGGTGATGCAAGAAAGTGAGCGAATGACAAACAAGCAAAGAATGAACCAAGCTTGATGATGGTGACGGAGGTAATTAAAAAGGTTGCAGCTAAGCTTGATGCGCGGTTGACTCAGATCAGATTAACTGTGAGCGATTGCTTGGCAGCATTTGAGTTTGACAAAGAGGCTGCTTACCGAATGTTTGATGAGGACAGGGATCAGAAGGTGGCACAAATTTGGTAGAGCGTTGCTGTCTACTTTTCGGTGCTCCGTTTATAGTCCCGAGTCATAGAGACTAATGATCTTTACCCACAATTTTTAGTATTTCATGTGTGTTTGTCTTGCTTGCATCAATTTTACATCATGCATCATTTATGTCACAAAGTTATTTCAGTCTGCTGAATATTTTGGCTGTTGTTTGATGAAACAGAACCGAATTGTTTCTGTATACTTTATTTTGTCGTTTGCTTTAACATTACACAGTTTACCATCCTGCGGTTTCGTTTGAGAACAACAACCAAACACAGCAGCTGTGGTTAAAGTCTACTTCTTTGTTTTCAACTCTTTTGATTTTAATACTTGCTCTCTGTGTGTTCTTCTAACCACAGACCTGAAGCTTACCAAGAACCGCACCAGACCACAACAGACCAGACCTGACCAGGTTGAGCCCAATTATTCACAGTCTCCCTCTCCCCCCCCCCTTAATTTATTGTGCTGATCGGACAACCTCACACCACTGGGACTGGACAGGAGACCCAGAGGTTCCCACCACTGGAGCTCTAAGCTGTGCCTGGCAATGCCTCAGGTAAGAGGTACGATAGGAGGAGGGGAAATTGTGCTGTCGCTGTTGTTGATTTGTTTTTTTCCATTAACCCATAAACCCACGAACAAAAAGTGACTTGATTTTTTTTTTATTTTTAAATGGTCTGAATGAACTCTCCACAAAAATCTGAGACAAAACTTCCTGTGAGCAAGTATGCAAAACACCTGTGGACAGACAGAATCGTAGATGTGAAACACGGTTCAGGGGCTTGAAAGAGGAGAGTGACTGACCCCAGTGCTGTATGATGTCTGTAGACCCTGCATCCAAACAGCTGCTGAAGCCAGATGGGCTGACTGTGAGCGACTTTCTCAGTCCTTCTAAAAAAATAAGTGCAGAGTGCCAACTCTGAGCAGGCTTTAACATTTTTGTAATTCTCTGCGGTGCCGAATTAATAGCAACGTAGCAAAGTCAGCTCCCGGAAATGATGGTGTCAGCCTTGACAGTGTTTTTTTTTTCTTTTTTTTTCTGCTGTTCTTTTCTCCTGTTTTATTATTCATATTAGATACCACAGGGACTGTTTGTTTCTTAGGGTTTTGTGGTATCTTGCAAAATGTGCAAGTATGTTGTGATTGCAGCGCGTCTGTAGCTGCAATCTTATCAAATAATTCCCTCAGCTGTTAGAGTGAAGAACAGGAGATGCTGGTGGTTTGTTGGGCTGAGACACGTGTTTAACTTCAGCGCTAGAACAAAAATAACAACAGCAGCTCTGGAGTAATATCTGTAGATGTTAACTTTATTGCAGATATATTAGTAATGGGTTTTATTTTAAATTGCAGGAGTGTTTTTACAGTATTTTCTATTGCTGATGGAAGTTTTTTTTTTTTCCTTGATGATGATGATGATGGAAAAAATCAGACAGCTATCCATTATTTTGACATATTAGATCACTGATATACTGAATGTAACATGATTTTTTTCTCATAACCTTTAACTACAATATATTATTCTCTGTCAAAGTCATGGAGCATGTCTGGGAGCATTACAGGGTAGCAGGTGCTGTTGCTTCCTGATGCACCTGTCAGTAGCCATGTTTGTGGGTTATACTGATTATTAATCAGATCGGTGTGCACGCAGACACTTCCTCTGATGTTCCAATGGTGGTAAAATTATTCTCACTTTTCATGTCTGTTATGTCGTGTTTCGGTGTCCAGTGTGGCAGTAGAGGGGGAGCAGAATAAAATCACATATGAAAAGTTGTCTGTATGAGGGAGCGGATGGAAAAAAGCCTCCCATTCATGTATTTGATTATGCTTCAGTGCCCAGCTTAAGTTTGCTCAGTTCATAGTTGCGTGTTTGGGCACAATAGCTGCAGTGTTTTTGGTTGTTTTTTTGTTTTTTTTTGTGTGTGCTCTAAATGCAGAAATTTTTTTTATTTATTTATTTATTTGCTGTTGACATGAGACATGACTGCACAGTCAGTGCTTTATCTTTTCTTTTCTCTCTCATAAATGCACACTGCTTTCTGTTTTAGTTTTTAGTATTATTGTTTATTGAAATACATCTAATGATTATAGGAAGATTGAATGACAGATAATTGTATTGTGACTGATTATATTATGTAGGAATGATGAGATGCAGAGTCGGTCAGACTATTTAAGAAGTTGAGAAACAGCATGAACTCAATATAAAAGATGGACGTAGCCTTAGGATGTCTCCCGTTGGTTAGGCAAGACTCATCTCATTCAAGATCCCAAAAAGCTGATATTATGTAAAATATACAGAAAGAGTATTCAAGGATTTGGCAGTCATGTAAAACTTTAGGATTAACAGTAAATGGTATGAACGCAATTTTATGCTATTAATTGTGAGGGGCAGCACATGGGGGCAACAATAGACTCACGATTGGGTATTTGGAAAAAAAGAAAAGAAAAAGCTTTTTTTTTTTTTAAATTAAGGATAAGGAGGTGATCACCACTCTGTGAAAGACTGCGTGGGCAAATTGAGCATTTATTAGTGTCACATTGCAAAGACCTGGATAATGTAATCATGTACAGTACAAAATATCCCTAAAAGATTCAACAGATGATGTTGAAATCAAGGCAATATTGACTGGTGATGAGGGCAGGGATAGCTCAGTAGGTAGAGTGGTGGCCCCATGATCGGAAGGTCGGGGGTTCGATTCCCCTGAACAGCTACCCTGAGGTACCCCTGAGCAAGGTACCGTCCCTACACACTGCTCCCCGGGCGCCCAGTGGCTGCCCACTGCTTCACTGAGTGAATGGGTTAAATGCAGAGAGGGATTTTCCCCACGGGGACCAATAAAGTACACTTTCTTCTTCTTCTTCAGGCCTTCGGACAAACAAACAAACAAACAAAACGGCAGACATGACTTTTTTAGTGCAAATCACAGCGTGAGCTAGGGAGCACTTCTGAAACCCACTGTCTGTGAACACTGCATCGATAAATACCAGCCTGTTTTGCACAGGTCAAATGCATTTGTGATGTGATGCATCTGGGAGGTGCATTGGTAACTTGCACTTCTGTGAAACCCTTTCAAATAAGACAATGTCAAACCGCATTCTGCACATATTCCAAGAGCACAGCTCTGTAGCAAAACGGTCCCGCTGGTAAACTGGTCTGTGTGCAGCAAATGATAGCTTCATCTATCTTTAGAAATTGAAGTCAGCTAAACTGTGAACTTACATAATTCAAATAACTGCACTCAAGTCGGATTTGTGTGTCCACTCAGCTGTTGTACAAACCTTGATCATAATGACACAAAAATACACACAGAAAACACCTGTAGCTTCCTCCGTCTAGCTTATAATAATTCCTGGCAGAATTGAAAGTATGGCACACAAAATGTAAAAATAATGGTAATAACTTTAGTTTTATAGCACTTCTATAGCACAGTTACAAAGTGCTTCACACTTTAGATAAAACCACACACTAAAGTCAAGTATACATGTTCAAACATATTGTCTTACATTCTTTCCTGCATGCACATGTTGAAAGAACGAGAAATATATGGGCGAAGGTCCTTTAAAAATGAGTTTTCATCAGTCGGTTAAAACAACCCACAGTCACAGAGCCGACAGGCTGAAGAAGGCTGTTCCACAGTTTAGGAGCTTTAACCTCAAAAGTGCGGTCACCTCTAAATTTTAACATAGGAGGATGAAATAGTTAAGAGACACTGATGAGATTATCGGAGAGGAATAAGGTCTCAGCAGCAGCTCTGCTGTATACACAGGGTCAAGGCTCACTAGAGCCGGTGAGAACAGCAAACTCCTGGCACATCGTTTTCAGACCCCACGCGGTCTTTCGCTACTCACATTAAACATGATATATAGGTCACTTAGATAACTTAAAAATGTTCTTGTTTGGCTTTTTTTCTGTGTTTTATTTGTTCCTCAGTAAATCGGTTTGGCTGAGATTAAAGTTATAGTTTTTACACAGCTGAATAAACATCAAACAGAAAACTGATTAAACAGAAGTGTGAAATGGTAGAGAATTTACTCCAATGTCCTGTTATATTTTAGATAGCAAGGAGCAACGGCCGAGTTTATTAAACTCCACCGAGACAATCTGCAAATTTCATTAAAAGTTTAATAAACTATCATCTTGTCTTTATTTTTGGTTGACACATACCTAAAACACTTCAGGCTGTAAGTTAATGATAGCTATATAAGAGCAGATGCATGCTGGTGCAATAAGCTGTACGTTTTACGTTCAATGGATGCATGCTTTGATTAGTCGACTAATCGACAAAAATAATCGGTGACTGTTCAACTACCAAAATAATTGTTTGTGGCAGCCCAACTGCACAGCAATTGTAGGAGATACATTTGAAAAGAGTAACATAAAGAAAGAAGAACTGGACCAAGGATTGAGCCCTGAGGGACACCACATGTGAGGGGCACTGATGAGGACATGTAGTTATTAATATGACATCTGAAGTGTCTTTCAGATAGTAATGATTTAAAAAAACAACAACACACATCTGATAATATGACAACAAACATTACAGAACAATATTCTTTTAAACAATAATCTTTTAAAAACTGAGCAACATTAAAAGGAAGACAAAGGTTGAACTGAGTTTATCAGATTTTACTTGTGTTGCTGTGCATTGTTGTTTAATCAAGTGTTCCCCCCCCCCCCCCCCCCCCCCGTGTTTGTTGCAGCCCAGCGTCAGTGGGATGGAGCCTCCCTTTGGGGATGCCTTTCAGAACTACTCGATTGCTGACCAGGCTCTGACCAGCACTGAGCTGCTCGCCACCAGCTCTGACCCAGATTTCATGTACGAACTGGTGAGTAGACACACACAAAGACGTAAGACCTTGGTAACCATGCTTTGAATCCGGCTTCTTTTTATATTGATTCTTGTTAAGTGCTACAGTTGCTCTAAAAGACTTATATATATTTGTCAAAAAAAATCAATATAAACACTGAAAGTCACCAAGATTATTCTAAACATACATACTCAAGTAGCTGAGCTGTAAACTAAGAAGGTTTTGATTGTGCTAAGCCACATTTATAGATTCGCCAGTGGAGACCCAGTCTCTGCCGGCGGGGCTTGATCAGACACAGCTGCTCAAGGGTCAGCTTGGCCCAAGCACCCCCACAAATATCAAAGATCAATATAAGGTTACACAGCACACTGTTTAAGGGGCCACAGAGCAGGAAAGCTGCAGGAAATCCAGTATCGTTCTTCTGATTAAAGGAAACCATATTATAAATGTTCCAATTCTTCTTTTTCTAACCTAACATTGACTTCAAGAAACCTTAGAAACCAAAGTTATTTCATCAGTTTAATTTCTCAATTCAGCATCTTTGCTTCGCTGGTCTTCTCCTGTAAACATTTCAAATTGTGCAACTTGTTTGACAATTTGTTAAATCTGTGTGCGATGTCTAAATAGAAATCACTGGAACAGTCAAGCCAAACTGAATCAGGGCCTGTCATGTAGGGACTTTGCTGATCTGAAGTTGGTGGGTATAAATCGATTAATTTATTTTTCAGCCCGAGTTGTCTTTGACAAGAGTGCAGTGGCACAACAGTGTTACTGTGGTGAACTAATATGTCCCTAGGCTTTTAACATAACACATATAAACAAGCCAAAGTCATTTCCTGTGATGATTTTCACACAATTATCAGCCTCGCAGTTGGTTAGTTACGGCTAGTTATTAATTGCAAACAGAAAAACAGGCAGGATATCATTTGGGATGAAACAGAAGGCACTTTGGTTTTCTGGGATGCTTCCGTAGAATGAAGCTATCATTTATGTGATAGATAATACCTGTCAAACCATCTGCTGCAATGGCAAAAGGACTTCTTCGCCAAGATTCACAATTGAAAATATTGAGGTCGGACGTGATTCCTCACCATTTACAGGGATTATTTCAGTAATGGTGAGAAATCCTGAGGTTTATAGAAACGTTTAATGAATGCTGCCGTGGACTCGGCTTAACTTCCAGACTGGCGTTTATCAAAGCAGAGACTCGTGTCTAATTGTTTAGAAACTGTCTGACATTTGCCAGGCTCACAGGCAGGTGATATGAAGCACCGCTCATGTTGTCAGCTGCAGGTGTCTGCCTTAATTTACTGTCCTCTGTAGACTAAACAATAGTGATTGACTGCCTCACTCTCAATTTCTTTCACCCTAGTAACCCATTAATGAGATGATGGTGTGCAGGATGACCTTCCATCTCCTTTAGTTAGTTTGTTTATCATTTGGTGTGACACCCATTTATTATTAAAGCAGCACTAGTTAGTCAGGGTGCAGAGTTTTCTAAGCTATTCAGCACAGTGGGGTGTTTTTTCTTCTTTTCTTTAACAAGAGTATTGGAAATCCTGTCTGGGGCTGCGTCAGCATCTTCTGCCCTTTTATGCAATCCCAGACTGATTTCACAATGTTGACATCAGAGCTCTGTGGGGGTTGTACCATCTGTTGCAGGGCTCCCTGATCTTGGTCCTTTCATGCAGGTTCTTTATGGCTTTTGCTGTTTGGGACCGCTGTGTAGTGAATTTCCAGACAGTCAAACACCTGGTTGCTGGCATTATGTGGTGGCTTGTTATCATAAATGTCTTTTATGAAAGTTAACTAAATCATTCAATAATGAAATCTAAGCTAAGTAGAATTTCATACAACATCACCTACCCTACCACCTGCCTTGATCAGCTCTCTGTCTCTTTAAACACTTTGGAGGACTTTAAAGGTCTTTTTTTTAAACTCAACAAAGCATTTAATTGTTACAAAATCTCACACAAGGTCTAATCATCAGATAAAATGAAACGGTGGCACTTCATGTCCAATAGGTCAGCATGACTTCAATGTGAAATCTTCACTAGTCGGTGCCCTTGACTCAGTAACAGAAGAGGAGATTGTGGGAATATTTCACATTCAGTTAGATAGTGAAATGATGACACTGCATGGCTGAAGTTTAGGAGGAAGGTGGTTGGTGGTTTGATCTCTGGCTGCTCCAGTCTGCATGCCAAAGTATCCTTAGGCAAGATACTGAACCTCAATTTGTTCTCCGATGCTTTCATTGGAGTGTAAATGCATGACTGTTGGAAAAGCATTTAGGTAGAAAAAGGTGCTCATATGAATAAGGCATGTTGTATGAAGCACTTTGATTAGAGTAGGACCAGTCCATTTACCATGATCCTTTGTGTCTGGGACAAGGACACGCACTCTAACTTTACAGATCATCCTATCCTATAACAGCTGCATGGAGGTAATTCTTTAATTTGCTGCTCTCTTCAGGACAGAGACATGAGCCACCAGCAGAGCCCCTGTGGGGACAGCATTGTGGGGGTCGGGGATGGAGGCAAGGAGGTTGAGGGTTGCGTGGACCAGCTAATGGGTCTGGGTGAATGTGAGACAGTCTGCAGCAGCTCGGCGTTCGAACAGTGGGACTCCTACTGGGAAGACCTCACCAGGTACTTATGATTTATTCATGTGTTGCAGCTTTTTTTTTTTTTTTTAGGCCATGTTAAACAACAACAACAAGTAACTGACACACAAAACTTTGACCTCTTAAACTCTGTGAAGCTGGTTTGGTTTGTAAATGAATAACTAGCAGATACTTTATATAGTGCTTTTCAAAGAGTCACAAAGTGCTTTACAAAATCCAATACAGAGCATACAAAGCCAGGCTTAAAAGCAGCAGAAAAATGGAGCAAATCACTGACTCTAAGAAAGAAGCGAAAACGAGAAGCCTTTAGCAACAGTTGAAAATGCATAGGTCACATATCACATGTGTCAACTTGAATATTGAAATCATACAGAAACACATCCAGTGTTTGATCAACAAAGTCCCGTAAAGTTGACTTGGTGGGTTTTTGTGTGTGTGATAGTTTCTTATAAATTATGTAATTTTAAATTTTTCTGTCTTTGCTTTGAATCACGTGGGTTAGCTGACGGAGCAGAAAGTGTTGAACTATTATGAGATGCATTAACATGTTGTTGATCTGGTTTATTTTTCATGTCATTTGCTGCTATTAAGATAGGTAGGCTTCCTGTATTTTTTTTAAACTAACATTTAAAATCTGAAACTCACAGTTATGCTGTATTTTTAAACTATTATTTAGATATTTCACCATCATCTTACTGTGGTCACGCCAGGTTTGTAGTATGAGGAGGCTGTAGTGGGCCCCTGCTTTTTATAAGCTTGCGATTGATGATACGACTGATTTTAAGTTAAATCTGGTTTTAGTTAAATCTGTTGTTACGTCTTTCAATGAGCCTCATGAGAAAGGTCAGAAGGCTTTGAAGGTTTGTACAGAAGTAGAACAGTAATTGTGAAGGCCTGTCCTTTTGGTCTCAAATAGACGCAGCAGATGAGAATTTGAAGCAGATAGTCGGTTAGCCGGGAGGCAGGAAGTGGTTTAAGAGGCCTGTAAACAACAAAGTAGCTGGCTGCCGCAGTCTCCTGGGGTCTCAGGTGATGCTCCGTCTGTCCTGCAGCTACCCTGATGTTTTGCTGCCAGAGTAGCTTGTGTACTCCCCTCCCCAAGGTTGAGTGCAAACTGAGGGCAGACTACTGTCTCTGAAAAACAAAGTCCATTAAAACCGGGGTGGAATAGTGCTGGTTGTTGCAGGGTTTGAAAAATCTGCTGCATACAGACTTAGGTTTGGGTTGTGCCGAAGTGGAACAGAGGAAACTGCTGTATCTTTTTTTCCTAATGTGCAAACCATACTTTCCAGCTTTGACTAAGAATGTGTGTTTCGGCAACTTCAGATTAATTTTGTTATATTGTTGTGCTCTGGTGCACCAAAATAACGTTTGGTGCTTGCTGGTCTTACCAAACTATAGTTTTCTTCACCGCACTGAAAGTGCTGAGAGAGCCTCAGAGCTTCCTGTTTATATCTTGTGGCATGAAGAGGCTTCACTGTTATCACTGGTTTCTCACTGAAGTTACAAACTTTAAACTAAGTTAAAAGTAAAGTTGAAAAAGAAAGTTGAACAGTTACAGATTTTCTCTGAAATGTTCCAGCTTGGAAAAAATGCATTTGTCTCAAGCTCTGCAAAGATAAAAGTGAAAGTGGAAGAGTCACGCTGTGCTGTGCTGTTTAACTGCTATATGACTGGACCATTGCCATCATGTGACAGGCTGCCATTGCAGTTCTAAGTAGAGACAAGTGCACTTCCACATTTAGCATCCCCTCTGTGGGGAAAACAGGTTTTCACTGCAAGTTGCAGTAAATGAATATTTCCATTACTGGTTTTGCTGAACATTTCCAATATTTCCCTTCAGTCAGTTACTCATCTTCAAGTTTCATATATAACAGCAGAGCATGAATGTTTAGCATGCTGAAATAGTGTTTTAGTAGTTTTTCATGAATAATAACTTGTAAATTCTAGTTTTTCTCTGATGATCATGTTGGTCGGCTGATTATTGTATTTGCAGGGTCATTTGCATGATAAAAATGTGCATCAACAAGCTAGTATTCTAAAGATTTAACAAGCTTAGGTTATTCAAATGTAGACAAAAATAGGAAACAGCTGCAATGCAAAGATGTAATGAAGATACTATGACAAGAAGGCGAAGGTTTCCACTGTTGCTAGTCTGTGTCTCTCTGTATTTCACAGATACACACGGCTGGCCAGCTGTGATATCTGGGGCACCAAAGAGGTGGACTTCCTGGGATTGGATGACTTCTCCAGTCCTTACCAGGACGAGGAGGTGATTGGTCGAACTCCGACGCTGGCTCAGCTCAACAGTGAGGACTCACAGCCTGTGGGTGAGACGCTCTACCCTCCCGCTGACCTGAGCTTGCCCCAGACTCAGTCATCCCAGCTTCCCTGTCACAGTAAGACTCTCCTGGTCCCCGGCCAAGGATCAGGCCCTGGCTCTGTTCAACCTTCACCAAGCTCCACATCCTCTTCCCGTCCTTCGCGCAGCCTTCTCCCGGACTTTCCTGAAGGCTCCCAAAGAGCAACCAGACCTGTTCCTTCCAGCACTGAGACTATGGCTAAGACTCAGAGCCACCTCAGTCTCACCCAGGACCATGGTCATGCTCAAATAAAGCCCATGGTGCGTGGAACCAAAATGGGAGCCCCAACTTCCTACAGCTCTGACTTTGTACGCAAGGCTAAAGTCCGTGTCAGTGCTGTACATAAGACCCAAGCGGACATGCCTCCCCAGACGGATTTTGAGAGGTCAGATCCCATTCTACCTCTCTCCCAGCCTCGAGTTGAGAAAGCCTCTACTTCAGCAAGTGCCGCCTTAGTGGGACTACCTGGTGCTGCCGCCGCCAGCTGTTCGGGTGGCCTGGCGAGCTTTGAAAGGAGAGTAGAGGGGACAGCGAGGAGAGAGATGCCTGTAGGCAGGTCTGCCACTGTGCCTCAGCTGGTTGAGGCGAGCCAGGCTCTGGAGACCAGCACCTCTGGGCTGGTGATCAGCGATGGTGTTTGCAGCGGGGCTGGCAGTCTTTTGGTTGTTGAGGGTACGGAGAAGACCAAGGAAGAGGAGCACAACTACTCTCTCTTCATGACCCGCAGCAGACTGGGCAGCAGAGGCCACCCGCAGACAGAGGAAGAGGATGAGGAGGATGAGGAGGATGAGGAAGAGGCAGAGGCAGAGGAAGAGGAAGGAGATGGGTTGGAGCTAGAAGACGAAGACCACGATGAGGGTTTTGGCAGTGAGCATGAGCTGTCTGAGAATGAAGAGGAGGAAGAAGAGGAGGAGGACGAAGACTACGAAGCAGACAAGGACGATGACATGAGTGACGCCTTCTCTGAGCCAGGTAGCTACTCTCTATTTAAAATAGTTAAAGTGATTTTTATTACCTTTATTTTACCAGGTTGTCTGATTGAGATTACAATTTCTTTTAAAAGAGAGACCTGATCAAGATAGGAGCTGTACAACCCAAAACATTGAAAAAACTCTACACGTACAACATAAAATATAAATCCACAACAAATACCCATAACAAAAAGCATTAAAAAATTAAGTGGCTAAGAGTGAGGTCAAGTAATTTGGACATGTGAAAAGGCATGTGTGGTCCCATTTTCAGTAACTATAATCTCATTGAACGTATAAAAAAAATATGATACATTGCTACATTACAAGCAGATGATTACAGTATTGTGTTACTTGGTATTTGGTGTCACCACAATACTGAATACACAATACATCCTTTTCTTTGTCTCTGTCTCTGTTGCATTAATTTCCTCCCCTTCCTTCTGTGTCTCTCTCTTCTGCCTCCGTCAGGCTGTGACATGGAGCTGATGGAGGACATTAAAGGGCTCACAGCAGGAGTCTCCAGCCGAAAGAGAGGAAAGCGCCGCTACTTCTGGGAGTACAGCGAGCAGCTCACCCCCTCCAAACAGGAACGCATGCTCAAGCCGTCCGAGTGGGACAGACACACGCTGCCTAGCAACCTGTACCAGAAGAACGGGCCTCTCCACGGTACTCACACATGCACAACTATATGCGCATGCAGGCATTATTAAAGTCTCGCTTTGAGCTTCAGTTTTATATGGAATTAAATAATCTTTTGCATTTAAGTGTTTCCGACATTTTATTTTACATGCCCAATATCAGCGTAAAAATGATCGTATACGGCTTTTAGTGGATAATGCAGAGTGATCAGAGACAGGCTGGTTGGATCGGTTGGATTTTCCACAGCAGCAGCTGTGCACAGCATGTTGCAGTCATGCTACAGTTTGAGTAATCACACTGGAGTTATTAAATAAATTAAAGATGTATATTTTATTTCACACATTAAAGGACTCCTCTGTTTGCAGCAATGCAGCAAACTATTTGTCTTGTATCCATATTCTTATTTATTCAGTGTTGTAAAGGGAGTTCTTTAAGTTGAATAAAATGACTCATGTTGGATTTTGATCATCATAGTTTCAGGCTTTTAAAAGTTAAGGTCATTGTCAAAAAGTTGCTGTTTGATGATTAATAATTAGGTTATTAATGCATCCCCACACCTGTCAGACCCACTGCAGGTTACCAGCTGTTGGTGCGTAGAAAATCTTTATTTAAAACTAGGGCTGTGCTATATGACCAAAATCTCATATCCCGACATCTATCGTCCCAATTACGATATAAATCACAAAAATTTAACATTTTCTGTAAATTATGTGAATCTCAGGCAGCTCCACTTGCAGGAAGTGTTTCCAGCAGGGCGTCGTGTACCTGTAGTCGAATGTTTTAACCGATGCATGAAACGATACATTTTTAGACATAAGTTGTAACGGCTGCCGTTTTCTTTGTGAGTATTTATTACACGGCGTGCTGCAGGGAAAAGCCTGTTCTAACGTTTGACTCTAAGGTTTATTTTTTAGCACCTGGCGGCTCTTTTTTAATTCTCATCCATAAACACTCTGCATACTCTTTCGCGTGATTCAGTTTATTTTGAAAAGTCTCAACAGGATCTTGAGCTTTATTGTGAAAGGTTTATGTAGAAAATAAACAAGCGGACACGCAATGGTTTTACCGTCGTTGTTGCTAACGACAACGCATAAAAGCAGGCGCTTGTCCGTCCGTAGTGTGGTTATATAAAATATAAGAGAAAGAGAGAACTTTAAGAAATTAATATAGCCACTACAGTGACCATCAAAACGATGAAAAAATATTGATGTTAACAGTTTATTTTGCGACACCACGAAACAAACGATAGCGTAAAATGAAACGATAGACGTTTTTATATCGTCATATCGAACAGCCCTATTTAAAACCAGATCAAGCAATTTAAAAAAACAGAGGTACACTTGCAGTTGGCTGGTTAATTTGAAGTACCATGTGCACAACTAGTGTTTGTTCATGTTTTCGAGAACTGAAACATATAAAATGCGATTGATGTCTAACTCCTTTGTTTTGATGATCTTTACAAAGGAAAATACATGCTGAAGAAGTCTCGCCGCACAGATGTGGAAGACCTGACTCCCAATCCACGCAAGCTGCTGCAGATCGGCACAGAGCTTCGTAAACTGAACAAGGTGATCAGCGACTTGACTCCTGTGAGCGAGCTACCACTGACTGCACGGCCACGCTCTCGCAAGGAGAAAAACAAGCTGGCCTCCAGGTAAACCACGCATTCATGTGTTCGCTGTGTACACATGACAGCTGGAGAACAGCCATATGTAAAGTCCTGATGACTGCAACAGTATTATTTTCAAAAGGCTTTACCCTCTCGAGCCTGATTGTAATAAAGATGCTGATTTGAAAATAACCTTTGTTTCTCAGTGAGATCCTCTTTCCTCCTATTGATTAGAAACTCTTCTTTCTGTCTGTGTGTTTCAGAGCTTGCCGTTTAAAAAAGAAAGCCCAATATGAAGCAAATAAAGTGAAGCTCTGGGGACTCAGCACAGAGTACGGTATGTTGGCTCTGACGCTACATGATCTAAATCTTTACTAGAAACAACATCTGCATGTATTTTTTCTTGCACTGTTGGCAGTTCAACGGAAACTTAATAGACAATGATGACAGTGACTGTTATGACATTTTACTTTTTTCTTTTTTTTCTTTTCTTTGTCAGATTAGAAATAAGATCATGATTGATAAGAATAACTAAATAACTGCTCATACTTGTCACCAATTTTAAAAAGAATTGTTACAGTGTCTAACCAGAAGACAAAAGCACAGACTTTTTTGTGAATAATCTGTGGTCAAACTGGTGTTTTCCTGCAGACCGGCTGTTGTTTGTGATCAACGCCATCAAAGAGGAGATAGTGGAGCGAGTGGAGGACTCTTCTCCGCGTCCAACCAACATGTCTGACACTCTGGAGAGACTCATAAAGGAGACACTTGGTGAGAATCGAAAAGAAACACAAGTTAAGCCCGTATTATGCTTTCTGTGGTTTTATCACTTTATTTTAGTGTTGAAGCTTTTTCTTTATACATGCAGATGTTCTGCATATTCACAAAGCCCAAAATCCATGTCAACAGGAGTTTTTATCTTCAGTGTGCCTCAATTGCTTGAAACAACTCGTGAGTCGTGAGGGAAAAGATCCCTGGCTGAAAGTAACATTTAGACAGCATCTGAACACATACAGTGTCTCACAAAAGTGTGAGTACACCCCTCACATTTGTGTAAATATTTTATTGTTTCTTTTCATGGGACATCATTGAAGATATGACGCTTTGATACAATGTAAAGTAGTCAGTGTACAGCTTGTGTAACAGTGTAAATTAGCTGTCACCTCTAAATAACTCAGCATACAGCAATTTATGTCTAAACCGCTGGCAACAACACTGAGTACACCCCTAAGTGAAAATGTCCAAACTGTTCCCAAAATGCCAATGTTTTGTGTGGACAGTATTATTTTCCAACACTGCCTTATTTTCCATCACTATAGAGCTTCACAGGGTGCCACTGGGATCCTCTTCCACTCCTCCATAATGACATCATGGAGACACATTTTGCTCCTCCACCTTCCATTTGAGGATGCCCCACAGATGCTCAATAGGGTTTAAGTCTGATGACATGCTTGGCCAGTCAAGTACCTTTACCCTCAGTTTATTTATCAAGGCACTGATCTTTTTGGAGGTGTGTTTGGAGTTGTTATCTTGTTGGAATACTTTCCTGTGGCCCAGTTTCTGAAGGGAGGGGATCATGCTCTTCTTGAGTATGTCACAGTACATGCTGGAATTCATGGTTCCCTCAATTAACTGTAGTTTCCCTGTGCCAGCAGCACTCATGCAGCCCCAAATAGTGACGTCCCACCACCATGCACCATCATGCACCATCATGCAAGGCAAGACACACTTGTCTTTGTACTCCTCACCTGGCTTCCGCCACACACCACTGACATCATCTGAAACAAATAAGTTTATCTTGGTCTCATCAGACCACAGGTAATCCCCCCCTTAGTCTGCTTGTCTTCAGCAAACTGTTTGGAGACTTTCTTGTGCATTATCTTTAGAAGAGGCTTCCTTCTGGAATGATAGCCATTTGATGCACCTCCAACCTCTGCAGCAATGCTGGCAACATCTATTTTCAAATGACAGCCTCTGGATATGACACGAGCACGTGCACTCAAGTTCTTTGGTCAACCATGGCGAGGTTTGTTCTGAGTGGAACCTCTCCTGTGAAACTGCTGCATGGTCTTGGCCACCGTGCTGCAGCTCAGTTTCAGGGTGTTGGCAATATTCTTATAGCTAGGCCGTCTTTATATAGAGTAACAATTCTTTTTTTCAGATCCTCAGAGAATTCTTTGTCGTGATGTGCCATGTTAAACCTCCAGTGACCAGTACGAGAGAGTGCGAGAGCAATTCAACACACCTGTTCCCCATTTGAACCTGAGACCTTGTAAAAGTAACGTCTCACGTGACACCAGGAAGGGAAATGGCAAATTGGACACAATTTGGACATTTTCACTTAGGGGTGTACTCACTTTTGTTGCCAGCGGTTTAGGCAATAATGGCTGTGTGTGAGTTATTTAGAGGTGACAGCAAATTTACACTTTTGTTCAAGCCGCACACTGACTAGTATCTTCAATGTTGTCCCATTAAAAGATTTGACAAAATATTTACAAAAATGTGAGGGGTATACTCATGTTTGTGAGATACTGTCCAAATGCAAGCACTGCACTAAGCTACATCTTTGCTATCATAATGACCGCACAGCTGAAACGGTCACCAGACATCATCAACAACACAAATATAAAATCTTTTTGTTTTTTGAGTCGGGGACAGTGCAGGAGCAGGACGGCCGCCATCTTGAGCGGCCGAATATTTCTATTCAGGACTCTTTGTCTCTGGTTACAGTTAGTAACCGACACTCTCTCTTGCCTCTTTTGCTGGGCTAGCTGACCAATCTGATCAGGCTGGGTTTTATTAGCATGTGGAGACTTTTACCCCATAAAGACAACATATCATTGCCTCCTCTTAATAACATGTTTTACACCTCAGTATGTATTAATAAACACGTGGTTTGATGACAATTAGAATAGTTTCTGGGGTTTTACAAGAGTAGCTGCTGAGGCAGAGTCATTTTGTTCTGTAAGGAGGCCTGAAATATAACAGAAACCTTTCAAGTGAGAAAAGAGAAACAAGGGTTATTGCTTGTAAGCTCTCAAGGCGTAAAGAGTTAAAGATACATTTTTAACTTTTAGTACAGCTACAGCGATTTTCAAGGTTAGAAAAACGAATGTTCTTTGAACATTAAACCATGTAAAACCTAAAATGCAGGACCCCAAATGAAATCGTGGACCTCTAAGTTAGCATAATATGGTCTTTTTACAGTTGACTGGCCACCAATCAATGAGATACTGTAGTTTACGGTGACTGTGAACGATGACTAAGAATAACTTAAAAAACATTTTAAAGACCATCAGAATTAAATTCATTACAAAACTATCAAATATATTTGATAATGAATAATTGATATAATCAATGATGTATCAAAGTGATAACCACAATAAATAGGCAGATGCATTGATTATATTTATCACCATATTCAGTCAGCTATAACCTTCACAATTAGATAAGCTGAGTACAAGCATACAGCAAAATTGGAAGCGCCGCTGAGCTTGGTGTATACAGACAAACATAAACATCCATCCATCCATCTTCATCCGCTTATCCGAGGTCGGGTCGCGGGGGTAGCAGCCTAAGCAAAGAGGTCCAGACCTCCCTCTCCCCAGCCACCTCCTCCAGCTTGTCCGGGGGAATACCAAGGCGTTCCCAGGCCAGCCGAGAGATATAATCTCTCCAGCGTGTCCTGGGTCTGCCCCGGGGCCTCCTCCCGGTGGGACATGCCTGGAACACCTCGCCCAGGAGGCGCCCAGGGGGCATCCTTGCCAGATGCCCGAACCACCTCAGCTGGCTCCTTTCGATGTGGAGCAGCAGCTGCTCTACTCTAAGCCCCTCCCGGATGGCCGAACTTCTCACCCTATCTCTAAGGGAGAGGCCAGCCACCCTTCGGAGGAAGCTCATTTCCGCCGCTTGTATCCGCGATCTCGTTCTTTCGGTCACTACCCACAGCTCGTGGCAATAGGTGAGGGTAGGGACGTAGATCGACCGGTAAATTGAGAGCTTCGCTTTTACACTCAGCTCCCTCTTCACCACGACGGACCGGTGCAGCGTCCGCATTACTGCAGCCGCAGCCCCAATCCGTCTGTCGATCTCCAGCTCCCTTCTCCCATCACTCGCGAACAAGACCCCGAGATACTTGAACTCCTCCACTTGGGGCATAAACAGTCCTCCAATTAAATAAAAGAGTAATAAAGATGCTTTCTACGCAATGAAAAATAAAATCAATAAATAATAATAAATTAATAATCCTAATGATAGCAGCTTTAATGGCTCAGGTAGGCAGTGAAATTGATCGATACAGTAGACGTATTTTAGTTCAGTTGAAAGTAAAAGTTAACTTTACTTTTAGTATTTAGTATAAACATGTTCTAATGTATCTTTGTATCTGTGTGTGCAGTGCCATCACCTGTTGCTGGGCAGACTTCAGACTTCGTCAACAAGATCTTGGAGAACACAGGACGCGGCGATCCCACTGGCGGACTGGTCGGCCTGCGAGTCCCCACCTCCAAAATCTAGACAGGCCGCCTTCCACTGAGAGCAGTGGACTCAGTATTATGATCGTGCTGTCCTGTTGTAACTATGCTCCCCTCTGCATGCCCCTACAACCCAGACTTTCATGCACATTGTTAGTCACACAAACACACATACCACTTCCTGTGTGTAGGTATGTGTGCTTGTTTTTGCCATGTCATCTGTATGGCATACACCCTAGCTTTCTGGCTCTGCGCACTGCGTGCAGAATCAGCGCATCACAGTTCTCCCAACTCATTGTGAACGTCCGTTGGGGGGGAAAAGCGCCTCTAAAAGCAAGTGATGGTTAGGTGTATAGCTAATAGCACGTCCTAAATCCACTGGTGATGATTAGATGTGTTTAACATAGCATTGTGTAGGGTTGTTTTTGTTGGAGGCTGAGACAAACAGCCGCATGAGCGTAACCACTGGAATACTTTCACACGTTTGTTTGAGGTTGTAGTGACAAAGGACGAATTTACATGAAAAAAGTTCCAGTTATCATTTCTCAGAAGACTTTCACCTCACAGGGCAACAAAAGTGGACTTGAGGTTGTCAAATGAACCCAATCGAGTAAAGCACCTTGATGAAAATGGCCTTGTAAGCTGCAGTGGAAAAAGCGGCTTGTTCCGAGGCGTTACGGGGTGGCAAGAAATATTTTGTATTGAAGGCCTAAATATGTTCATGCCATCCCTGCGAAACAATAAAGCTGAGAGTTATCATTAGAGCTTTTATTAAGCGAGAGGCGTCCTGCTGGTTTGAAGCTCGTGTCAGGCAGGAGGAAGCTTAACGGCTCATAGTTGACCATGTGAAGAGGAAGCGCATGTAGCATGGTGCTTTTTGGCCTTTGTGCTGGTTATAACTGGACTGCGTGGAACAGACCAGTGTGGGATCAGACAGAAAGTGAGGAAGATGATGATGGTGGTGCTGTTGGCGGCGATAGAGATGACATAAACAGTGATCCATCTCCTCCAGGAAACTGTAAATAACTGTGTCTCCCAGCGAACGGCACCGGCTTCCCTTTTTTGTACAGTAGAGATGACCAGGCAGTTTGGTGTGTTCATACTAGTGTTTGATCAGAGTTCTATTCATTGTGCCTTGTGTATGTATGTGTATGTGTGTGTGTGTGTGTGTGTGTGTGTGTGTGTGTGTGTGTGTGTGTGTGTGTGTGTGTGTGTGTGTGTGTGTGTGTGCGCGTCTCCGTAAGAGTGAGTGAGTGTGAGCGGGGCTGAACGAGGAGAGGTGATCGGCCAGAACTCCCAGCCTAGGAAAGGACTACTTATAGCGAGTGCGATGAGGGACACGCTGGTGGAGTTTGTTGTGTCTTTCAGCTGTTTCGAAGATATTCTGAATGTACATAAACAAATGGAAGCTCTTGTCGCGTGATGCCACAGAGTCTGTGTATATAGGAGGGCTCTGCAATAGATTACTTTTGGTTTTTGGTACTTTCGTCTTTGGGGATTTTGGGGGGGGGTTTAAGGATGACAGATATTTTTCTTTTAGAGTTACAAAAAAATATTTGCACACTATCTTTTGATTATGTTTTGTACCAAAGACACATGCAACGAAATGGCGACCAGCCAGTTAAAGTAAGGTTTTGCACAGCTTACCTGACGCCGTATTGAATGTAAGATTTGTGGGAGGGTCAGGGACTTCATAGAACTGTGAAATTAGCTTGGGTCCAATTCTGTACAGAAAAGGAACATTCATTTGCTTCTTCTTCTTATTATTATTATTTTTTGAATCTAAAATTGAACCCCTCTGTTGGCTTCTCCAGTAGATTTATTGCTTAAGGAAGCCCTTCATTCCTGAACTGATTCCTCCCTCCACCTGCTCATTGTGTTAATGGCGCTAGCTAGGATGAATACCAAGAGTGCTACTAGATAAGCTATGTTACAATTTTCTTTTCTTCTTCTTCTTTTTTTTTGCTTGTTAAAATTTCTCAAACAGTAACCAAAATCTTGTGTTCCTGTATCACTTGTTTGATTTCTGTATGTAGATGAGGTCTATAGACAAATATATTAACTGAATATTGTACATAGAAACATTAATGATATATCTATGAATGGTGAAACGCCACTTTTCATGACAATTGATTCATTTTTAAGCATGACACATTTCTAAAGCCTATCCTTGCTTTGAGAAAGTTAGAGTACAACAAAAAACCCAACAGAAAAACCAAAAAAACATGCTCTTGTTATATTTTTGTATTTTAGCTGCCTGCTAGATTTCCCGTTGGTTTGGGAGTGTTTGTTGGTCACAGGTGGAGGTGTTTGGCTGATGGTTTGATCTATAAGCTCCACCCTTTCTGTTATTCTTAGCTGGCTGATTTGAAATACAGAGAATCAAGACAGGATTTATATAAAACACAATGCCGCGAAGTGCTGGTCTACTTTGAGGGGTCTGTGAGGGGGAACGTTGAAGTGGCGCTGTCGGCGGTTCTAGCGTGAGAGCAGATAAGGAGCGAGATACAGTGTTGTGTCAGATGGTGTAAGAAAGCCAGAGCCATCTGAGTGTGGCTGATCTGGATTCAGCGCTGTCGTTTAGATTTTCATGCATACAGCAGCGTGCAAAAGTCTCGGCGCAGATGATCTAACTGATCTAAACAAACAAAAAAAAGACGAGCAATGTAAAGAACTCTAATCATGCAAATTAATAATCTACATATAATACTCGGAATCAGTGTAACAACAATTTTAAAAAAAATCTGGTTGACACTCATTTTTACTCCAAGCGGCATCATTACTGCCACCCACTTTGCTGAGGAAATTCAGCCCTAATAAGAAAGAAAATACACTTATCAGGCTACAGCTTCACCTTTTGGTGTCATTTTGATATAAGAGGAAAATAAAAAGATAATCATTCCATCTTTAACTTTATGCCTTTTCATATTAGTCCGCTATACAGAGTAAAACTTGCCCAGACTTTTGCATGCTGTTGTATTCTGTCTTGAAGCATGAATTGTGTATTTTCCTGAGATGGTCATCGCTGCCTCTGACCTTGCTTTGCTGAATTGAATCTCCATTAGTCATATCCTTCCTGACTGGTCACAGACATAAAGAATAACTTTGGTTACCAGTTACGGTAAAGTCCTTTAAGGAGATGCTACCTATTCTGGGAATGTTTCACAATTCAAGCAGAATTGATTTATTTGGAGGTCATATTAAAACGAGAAAAATGTGAATTTGACAAAGCTGAATTCAGACTGGCGTGACGTGAGTCTGCTGATGATAAAGTTTGTGTTGTGTGACTGAATAACAGCTAGTGCTACACACACACACACACATATAGATTTTTTTACTGTTTTCCGTTCCGTCTAAAAAGGGAGAAATGGTGCTTTTTCTGAAACTAGAATGACGAGTATCCATGATTCATATTTGATTCTTAGACTAGTTGTAGCCTAATGACTTGCTCTCCCCTTACCGTCCATAGCTATTTTCTTAGTAGTGATTCAGTTTTGTAAATAAACTATAAGTTAATATGTATCTTCTAAATGTTAAATATATGTATAGAATACTCTATCTTATATGTTTAAAAAAACCGAAAGCACTTTGTCCAAAAAAGAAAAAAAAAAACAAAAACAAAAAGAAAAGAAAAGAAAAGAAAAGAAAAGCATTTTTTTCTCTTCCATTTGCTGCTAAATGGCCTGGCGTGAATGCTGCAAGTGTACTTGACGACTACTTGCTTGGATAGGTCTATTGCCTGACTCTGCTAGGTCTGTAAACTAGCGAGGGGCAGGTGTACGACCTGACGAGGGTTAGATCTGCACATTTCTGGAGCCATGACATGATATGAGCGCACAAGAGCGTACCATTGCATGGCTTTGGGAAGCCCAGTGTCTTGACAGGATAGGTCTATTTCCTGGTCAGGGACCGAGTGAAAGTATGTTTGTGGTCTTAAAAGAAAACAAAAATTATTAAAAAAAAACCTTAAAAAAAAAAAACAAGAGGGTTTTGATTCCAGGGCCCCTACGTTGATCTTGATGCTGACCCCCTTGGCGTCACGATTCATTTGCCTTCAGTAGAGGTTTCCTATGGAAAAACTGATTCTGCTTTGGCTTCCTCTTCAGGGTGATGTACAGTGTAGACACATTTCTTCAGAGAGCTATATTGTTATCATTTGTAAACTGATTTCTACTTGTGACTTATTGAGGAGGAGGGTTTAGCCTGGGGCGGCCAGGAAGAGCTTGTTTGAAAGACGTTGCTCCCGGCCGCCTTGGGGGAAGTTACTATATCACTGTACTGTATGGCAAGCCAATTACAAATGGAGACTCAATCCGGACACTTATTGCCTTCTTAAATAACTTTTCACACACAAACAAAAATAACAACATGGCAGACAAAGTCGGCTGCCCAGAGTGGGGGGGGGCCTAACATTGTTCTGCCGATATGGTAAACAACAACAACAACAAATCAATTCAGCCTGACTGGCTCAAAACAACCTTGACTAAAGTAGCAGACGTGATGAAATGTATCTGAAAGAAAATGACTCCAAAGGTTTGAACTGCTTTGGAAGCGATGCTTTCGGGTATAATTTCATCCAGGTCTGGCAAGGGGTCAGCAGTGGTTGAAGGGCCGCTGGTTGACGGCCGGCTGACAAGAGAAGCGTGCGTGTGTTTTGCTGTCGATCACAAGGCTGGTTACAAGAAAGAGTCCTCACAGGTTTTTACATTTAACAGAATAGGCGCAAGCTGTGCAACTTTACATTCAAACCAGGAGACTCTGTGGCATTTTAACAGTTAAGGAAATGAGTGAAAATCCACGCCAGTAAAACTATTCCTTTTATTCTTTTCTGTTTTTTTTTAAATTTTTTATTTCTGATTACATAAATCCTATACAGTCAAATATTAAGCTAATAGAGTGTGTAACTTTGTGCTACTCTTGTCCAATAAAAGCTACGTGGATCCATAAAGCTCTTCTTCAGCAAATCAGGGTAATATCGTTCTTCTATCTGACATATGTGATGACATATATAAAAATCAAAAGAAAGTATATTTATGTATTCCAATTATTGTCGCCATTCTTTACTCTGTACAAAATATTGTGCGTACTGTATGTGTGTGAGAGAGAGTGTGTGTGCGTTATGAATCGTTAATGTCAATCACTATGGTGCAATGCTCTATAAAAGTTAAAAGCAAAGGCCAACAGACTTGTTACAAAAAAACTCACAAAATGTCACCGTTTTGTCCAAATTTGGTCTTCTTGCAAACACAATCTGCAGCATCTTCCTCTCTGAATGGTTTCCACTCTGATTTCCAGTCGTGATCCAGCTGGGGTTTGTCACATGGTGCTGATTACGTCTCGTTGTCCCGAGAAATGCTACGAGGATTTATAAAAAAAACAAAAAAAAAAGGCACCCGTATTCAGATGTGTTTACAGAAAACACTCCATGTGACCATTTCATTCAGTGTAACTATGATCAGATCAGACTTCCGCCCAGATCACTTTCACTGACTCACTGTCGGACCAATCAGAGGAAGAGTTGTACTGTTTCTTGTTTAAAACAACAACACCGCTTCTGTGCTATCGACTTGTATGATCGTTATTGTTAAGCGTACCAATACTTCTTTTGTAAAAGCCAGTCTCACGGATTTGATACCACCGCTCAAAGCCACAGAGGTTCTGTTAAAGATCACGTGGATGTAGCTTCATTCAGAAAGAGCAGTTTTGAATGAGTGCAATTAAGTGCATAGAAGTGCTCTTGAGATGATTTTTAATAGGGTAATGCTTTGTTTTACAGTGTGTAATAATTTCCAAAAAAATGTCCAGTTTCCTCCAGTACAGCTTTGTGTAATTTGGTGCTAATTCAGGAGAAAGTATTGAAATCATAAACTTCCAGTTATATTATTGGAGTCCAGCATGTCAGCTCAATGTGACATTTATCTATAGCCAGAATTATAACCAGTGATTATTTACTTGGACTAATCAGTTTGTCTACATGTAAACTCTTTTTTTTTTAGGTTTTGCTTCGTGCTCATCGTCTCGGTTTATTGGCTGCAGTAGATGGCTGTCTGCTGCAGCCAACAACCGGTAGAGACCAAAACAGAGCTACAAGGACAGTCATGTGACCAGTTTTTCTTTGTTTTTAAAAAAAAAAGATCTTATTGTTCCCCTTTATTGGTACCAAAGTACATATGGTAATTGTTTCCAGGAAGCTTCTTACCCTGTAAAATAGACATTACCATAAAAAATCATTACAGGAATAAAAATGTTAAATGACCTAACCTCGGACTAGCTGTGCTGTCAGGTCTAAGAGTCTGGCTTTGAGGGTTTTTTTGTGTTTTGTTTTTTGGCATTTCAAATGTATATCCTGTCTTGTTTGAACCCTTGTTGCTTGTACAAACAAAACAAAAACATGTACTACTACCCTCCACATTTTCCCCTAAAATGAGAACGCAGCTGTCTCTGCATGGCGATTCCCTGCATAGCGCTGAGAGAATCAAGTCTGTGAGTTCCTCGCAGATCGGGAAGAATTCAGGAAAGGGTGTTCATTGTCACAAAGTTGTTGCATGGCTTTTTGGGCTCTCTGTACGCTCTGTTGTATGATTTCATACTTGCTGCTATTGAATGAGCACAAAGAGACATCAGATTTTGGTTTAGGGTGTCCATACCACAGTTACAGTATATTTATACCACACATACCTGTTGGGGTTTTTCTTTTGTTTGGTTGGGTTTTTTTTGTCTCCCCAATCTTTCTTTTTTCCCTCCCTGTGGCAGTTAAAAGACCAACAGCATTACTCACCTTGCACTTGGTTTGTACACTTAGAAGGAAAAAAAATATTTTGAATATGATGCCTGCTGAACCAGGTGCCTTAATCAGTTATATGAGAACACAAATCTGCACCTTCTGTCAGTCTGGAGGGGGTTTCCCTACAGAAACCAGGGACTGGGTTTCCCAAAACCTAAACTTGAAGTTCAATAATGAAATGAAAACCTCATCTGAACCCTAAATCAGTGCATTTTATACAATAGTCAACCTAAGAGGCAGATGAGAGCCGTTAGTCATGTCTCGATCGTAGAATAGCCTTGCTGAAGAAGAGCAGAAAAGACAACCTGTAAATTGAATTGTTTTGGGAAACCTGGTTCTGTTTTGAACTCTTTCTCTGCCCACTATGCCACGTTATCGTGTATTCTGCATTGGCTGCTGCTGCTATCACCGCTGGTGTGTCCGCGTAGAGAAGAGCAAACGTCCACTGTGTCTGAGACAGAGGGAGACTTGGGCCTGCTTTTTACCTAGACAATTAAAATGCATTCTTCTTCTTCTAAGGTTTCGACACGGAGCACTCTGTTGCTACCTTTTGAGACCTTGTCGAGACAGGAAAAAAAAAAAATATCCCAAATAAACGCGAACTTTCCATTTCTTAACTTTGCTATAATGAAGTGCCAGACCCTCCTTGAAGTCAGTGTTGGCACTGAGTCGCAGGTTGCGAATGAAGCGACAAACTGAGCATGGAGGTACACTGTGGTGCTAATCTGTCAGTGGCTGGGTGCTAACATGGCTGTGTTAAATAGCTGTATTAGCCATATTATTCCTTCTGTTGATGACTCTGGTCAGTCTTGTGTTTCTGACTTCTGACCTGCTGTATGCTGATATAGCGAGGTATATAATTCTGCTGCTGCTGCTTTGCTGATGAATGTAGACTAGTCTTCCTCAGCAGGATCATACAGACAGACGAGCGTTTGGCAGAGCTTTTCCTGTTGTCTCAACAGAGGGAGACTCTTTGTCATCAGGATCCAGAAAGATCATGAATGTTGTATCTTTTAATGGCTGCTGTCCTGCTTGTGTGTTTCAATCTTTTTTTTTTTATTATCAATATGGTTTGATATTTATGCTCTGACTCTATCAAATGTTGCACTTTTTTTCCCTAAATTATATTTTATTGTCATTTTCTCTGATCCCAGTGTTCTTGCCATTTCTTTATTTATTTGTTCGGTCCTTTAATTTAACAATGCAAGGAGACAGTGATTGGAGCTAGACTTTAAAGCTTTCCACTAAAGCAGTCTTTACCACAAGTCAGAGACTTGTCATGAGATTCACAGATCTTAATCAAAGTCACAATGAAACTAGAAACTGTTCATACAAAAATTATATATATTTATTTTTTTGACAAAGATCCAATTAGTATAGAAGAGAATTGGGACCACTGGAAACAATCTTCAAGTTTTGACTGGGGAAAAAAAGAAGAAGAAAAAAATCAAAATCATGAGCAAAAAGTCTGGAAAAAAAACTGGGAAGTATATCTTAATTTTTTCCCTCAACCTATTCTGTAAATAGCTTTTATGTACACACCTGTAATAGCATCTAGAGATGTAAATGTCACTAACTAATGCTCAGTTAGATTTAAATAAACTGAGCTCACCTATCACAAATTGGAAAATAGACACTTTAACATAACGATTACAAACTTAAAAAAAAGTCAAATGTGAATCTAACTAAAATTAAGGAATTGTCCTATATTAGTTATTACTTACAAATATTTACTCTTTTTGTGCAAATAGAGTTATGATTGGTGTGACTGAGCTTCATGAGATATTCTCTGCTGACATGTACCCAGACATCCTCTTGCATAATAGTCTAATAATGACTCCCTCCATTAAAGGAGCATTGCAACCATTTTTAAGTTGTAGATGATTTGTTTTCTTACTATAACTTGGCTGAGAAGTTTGATGTCACTGCAGCCAGCAGCCAGTTAGCACAAATACTGGAAACAGGAGACAAAGTAGGGCAGTTCTGCCAGTACTTTATAGTCACAAATGCACGTTTGTTTTTTTAGGTGATATAGATATATATGGGGACTCTCTTTTGGCCAGGCAACCAAAAGAGACTTCAGATGTTTGCTGTGATTAGAGATGGAGACTGAAAATGAAACTTTAAGCAGATTTAAGACTGAAGGTGGTCTAAGGAGATAAAAATAATTCATTATTTTCTAAGTAAACCGGTCCAAGTCAGACTACAGTTTCATTGTGAGTTTGAATTATCGCTGTCTGTGGGGCCCATGAAGCGGAAGTTTAATAAGTCCTGAGAAAAGCTCGGTGGGTCACCAGACTGAACCTTGCCTTTAGGTGACTCTTTGGTCATGACTCTGGGCTGAGGTTCAGGTGCTCCACCGCCACGGAGCTGAGGTCAGGAGTTGGCTTGCTTGCGGTCTCTAACTTTTGGTGGGGAAAATTTAGTTTTAAGGAAGTAAAACTTTACCACTGCGCCAGAGATGTTTTGCCCCTTCTAGGTGCTTTTTTTATTTTAATTTTTATCAGAGGGGCTTTGGTTCGCAGTTGTCTTGTCAGGGAACCCCTGAGATTAGCCAGGGGCCACTAAAGGCTGGTGGGCAGAGACCCCTCACCTTCCCCTTTGCAATGAATGATGGGGAAGGGTTAATCTCCTCTTCCAGCAGACTGATTCAAGCAAACAACCACCCACACTTAATAATAATAATAAAAAAGAAAACCCCTCTTTCTATTTCTACATACGTCCAACTCATCATCCAAACACTGCAATGATTTACATCTCCTTCCAGACTTGCCAAAATGCATGAAGCAAGAGACATTTACCGAAAAAAGACGGCATCTGTTTGGTTACTATTCTCTCTTTATAAATTTTAATAATGACAGACAGACGGAGGATTATAATAGGAAATCCATACAAGTCCAAACATGTAGCGGATGTGGAAGGTATCGGCCATACTGAGCTCCACAGCTACATGCCATTGTTACGATGCTTCTGGTCTTGTATGGTATTTGACTCGATCAACAGCATGGGATCTTTCTGTAGTTAGTCCTGTGTGTGTTCCTCTCCCCAGTCTCAGTAGGAGGGCTGTACTTCATTGCTAAGTGCTCTATAATAGATCTCTTGGTGATTATAATTTCATAAAGAAGCAAAACCTGCAGAAAAAGTGTATCCTGCTGAAACTAACTTGATCCTCTCTTTAGCAATGACATCTATATTTGTAGTTCACATATATGCCTGTTCAAATACAATATCTTGACAGTTGCTATATTTATGTTGTGTAATAAATGTTGTGCTGGGTTTATACTTTTGTTTTGACTAACTTTTTGTTTAACGTTGTATTTTTATTTTTTATTTTTTCTCTTCTTGGAGGCACAGTGGGTGGCTTTATGCACAGGCATGGAAAAGTAAAAGACCTTTATTTTATTATTATTATTTTTTGGTTTGTACTGTAACAGCCCGATTCTCTTTCAGAGCTTCTGACAGTTTTTGTCTCTGGCTGCTCGACATTCTGCAGACACCTGCCCTGAATCTCTGTTGTGTAATTGTGCCTCTCTCTTTATTTTCTGTTCTCCTTCTTCTTCTTCTTTTTTTTTTTTTAATCGTTTTTCTCTGTTGTATCAACCAGGAGTTGGTACCACAGCTCTGCTTGTAACCATGTTTGTCTGATTATGTTTATTGATTTTAATATCAAAACAATAAAACCATTAGCACCCCAGTCTGAATCTTGTTTATTTAACTGACCGAGTGTGTGTGTGAGTTTTCCAACCTGATTTTTATAAATGATTTTTGAATTTTTCGTCGCTTAAAAATGTATTTTAAGCAAATGAGTTCATAAAGAGTTCAACAAGATATGCAGGAGAGCATTCCTGAGTACACAACAGATCCAATATTACAGCAGCAGAAGACCACACCAAGACTACAATCAGCATGGGCTCACTAAAATTGCAGCATAAGTATTTGGTGCAATCAGCATGAAAGCATGGATCCACCCTGCCTTATATCAACAGTGGCGGTGCTGTAATGTTGTAGGGGATACTTTCTTGGTACGCTATGGGCCCCTTTGTGCAAACTGAGCATCATTTAAATACTACAGCCCACCTGAGTATTATTGTGAGCATGTCTATCCCTTTACGATAGCTGCTCAAAACTCAGATCATCTCAAACTGGTTTCTTGAACACGACAGTGAGTTCACTATTCTCAAACCTGCAGCAACTGTGTGACGCTGTCATGTCAGTATGGACCCAAATGTCTGAGGAATGTTTCCAGCACAATCTATATATAAATAAAACGGGATCATTCAAGCGAAGTGAAACTTAAGATCTTCACCAGTGTTTCTGGTTGATTTTTGAGTAATGCCATATTATCTCCTCCACAAGTAGTGCCTGTGAAATGGAGAGATGCCTTTATCCAGCCAAAGAGAACCACTGATAGGAACACTTCTGCTGATGGCTCTAAATTTATTTTTACCACCAGCAAATGTCATTGGGAGACTGCAACTGAAAGCAGACAGCTGCTTCTACTACATACATAATTTCCTTGATTCTTTTTTAAAAAATACTTTAATATAATTTGATGCCCTACATGTACACCGCAGTGGTGTGTGGGATGGCGTCTCTCCCCCTCCCAACCTTTTCATAATGAAAGAAAATGTTTCCCAAAGCAACAATGTGGCTCACTGATGTGTTTATTAGGTTTGGACACATTCAGAAAAGGGCTGCATCTAAACAGGAAGTGCTTATGATTAAGTTCTATTCATGGTTTTATTGTCTTTTGTATATAACAGTATGGAAAAAGACCACATTAAAATAGCTCTTCCACTCTTGTATTGTACATATTTTGCTGGTTTGCTGCTGTTTAGACAAAGCACAAAGTCTATCAGAAAAAGGGAGAAATTTCTGTCTGTGTCTTTGTGTCTATTATCTTGACAGGGTTACTGCTGGGAACACGGATCAGACATGGGCCTCCTTTTTCCTTTACAGGATTTCCACAAAATTAGCTGGTGTAAAAATGACACAAGACCCCCCTTTTCAGTACGTACTGTTAATACTAACACTTAGTAGAAAAGTAATAGTACAGGCTCTATCCATGATGTTAATAAAAAAAAAAGAGTATATTAGTAACAGCCGAGGCTGAATTAATTTTAGTAGTTTTTTTTAGTTAAAAATGCCACTTTTGACTCTCTAAGTATAGTTTATATATTACAAACTTAAAATTATTTAGTGGTTCTGTTTTATATGATGTTTAAACATTTGAAAACACATTTAAATTTCAGTGTGGATCCTGTCTGTCCAATAAGTAAGGACAAAATTATAGTGGAAGCTGCAGAATGATAAGTAACTGCACTTTTTTTTAAAGGAATTATAAAATCCTATTTAAGTATTTTTTTTTGTTCCATTTTAAGTAACATATTTATTTATTCCACGGATAATTAACATCCGACTACCGTTGGTCCTTCGTCTTTACCTCTTTTGGACCTCCAGCTTGCCATACAAAAACAACAATGGCGTCTTCTGCGGATGTTCACGTCCGAATTTGCGCACAAGAAATTATCAAATATGATCTGGAAATTAAAGCTCTCATTCAGGTAAGGAATGAAGAACGAGCGCCTTGTTTGTCCTTTCATCCTGAGCCATTTCTGAACCGTTGGTAACTCTGGAGAGCTGGCTGAACATGCGCACAACAGGTCTTCAAGTTGAGCTAAGAAGAAGCTAACGTTAACTTTCCGACAGTCAAAAGACACAAAACATTCTTGATTTTGTTTATTTTAATTAGGCAAAAAATCATTCCTGAGACAGTTATAATACTTTTGAGTAATAAATCTCTAATTATTCAAATAACCGAGAGAAGAAAATGATCATTTATTATCAGATGTTATTTAAAAAAATATTTACGACGCACTCTTTGTTTAGTTCTGCGTTCGTGATATCCTAATTAGTAAGGGAAATTAAAATAAGTTAAAACAAATTGTTTTAGAAAATGTAAATAATATGAATATAAAAAAATATATTAAGTTTTTTTTTTTAATGGAGAAAAATGTGCTAAAATTTATACTGTATATCCTGAGCCAGATGGTGGAACGGCTGTAAGCTGAGAGACACCTGCCCTATCAAAAAGTGACCGCCAGTGTTTCTTTGTCTAATGTCTTTGGTTATATTGCTAAATAGCTCTAGTCAACAGGATTTAAAAATGGATTTCATATATAAAGTAATAAAAAATGACATATTTTGCAAGTATTTTTATGGTTCTACATTACATTGCAATCAATCAAGTCCTTTTGGCCATTTAAAGTATCTTTATACAGCTGTTATATTTGTATAGATTTCTGCTGTCCTCTTGGCCAGATCATCACTGACAGCTGATGTCCGTTGGTGAGGGCCAGAATGTAGAACAACCACTAAATCTCTTTTCACCACAGCAGGCAATTACAGTGCCACATCCCCTACTTCCCCTTTCCCTCTCAAGACCCCGAGTTGCTTTGAACTCCACCACTTGGGGGCAGCAGCTCATGTGTAGTGGTGGACACACCATTTCTCAGCCACCTCACACTCTGCTGCAAACTGCTCCACTGCAAGCTGGAGGTCATTGCTCGATTCAACCACCAGAACCACATCAGCAAAAAGCAGAGATGAGATCCTGAGTCCACTGAATTTGACTGCCTCCACCTCTTGGCTGCACATAGAAACTGTCTTCCAAAAAAACTTGTGAACAGAATCAATGATAAAGGGGCAGAGCTGGTGGAGTCCAGGATTCACAGGGAATGAGTCTGACTTGCTGCCAAGCTCTCAGTACACTATGTACAATGACAAAACACTTTATAACAATGGACCAGATGTCTCATACTCCTAAAGCACAAGCTCCTTTGCTCACACAAAGATTTGTGCATTTATGAATTCACATGATGTATGTCTTACTCGATGTGATATAATTATAAAATATAACTAATACATTATATTTAACTCAATGTGTGTGTGTTGTCTGTAGGACATCAGGGATTGTCCAGGACCTCAGTCTGCTCTTGTGGAGCTCAATGCTCAGGTCAAAGAGAAATTCAACAAGCTGAGGCTCAGAATTCAGGTCAGGCCTCAGCTACACATCCACACGGTGCTGCATCTGACAGGGTTTTTTTTTTTTTTTTGCTTAATATTGGATCTGTGTCATGTGATGCCATGATGTTGTTGTTTTTTTGTTTCTTCCAGGATCTGGAGCAGATGGCCAAAGAGCAGGACAAAGAGTCAGACAGAGTGGCCATCCAAACAGAGACCGAGAGCCAATGGAAGCAGATGCTGAGGTGTTTAGACGCAGACGCACACAGACACATCTAAAAAAAATAAGCCTGTGCAGCACCAGTCATTTTATTTTCCCCTTGAATCACTTGCCTCGTGTCCCAGTGAACATGTTGTTGGTTTCTGTTTTGTTGCGATGATAATGTAAACTGGAAATGCAGACACAAGCGAGCACTTAAGATGGAAAAAAAAATCTAAAACAAAAACTTTCAGTCTCAAAATTGTTTGCTTTTTCTTGTCTGTCTTGTCAGCAACCAGACAGCGTGGAGAAAAGCTAACCTGGCTTGTAAACTTGCCATAGACAACATGGAGAAGGACGAACTGCTGCATGGTGAGGAAAACCACAACACCAGACAGAGGTAAATATAGTTTCTGCCAAGGCTCTGCTACAGAGCACTGTACTACGAAGACAGTTCAGTGTACCCCGAGTTTGTTTGCGTTATGTAGATTCCCGTACTTCTACACCTGGTTAGAGCTGCTGATATGCAGTCTGAACTTTGATCAGTGATTTTTGTATACCTGCAGCCAAACAGGAGGAAATTAATGTCACCTGTATTAATTTACCTGGTTTCTGTTTAGCTGTAAAAGGCTGATGGGGTATTATCGTTACCCTGCCGGGCAGAGGCATCGTACACACCTTGAGAACAAGGCTGCTTAGGATTTTCAAACTGATACCATAGTTTCTGTCAGTAACTTCTATCCTCTACTTCCTGTAGTTATTACCATTACACTGTTTTCTTTCTGTTTTTAAGCCCAGGCCACCAATAATATTTCTGTTTTACACAGATGTGTGTTTATGTTTATGGAGTGTTATCAGATGAATCGCAGTATGACAACTATGTCAAAACAACAGCTAATCTGCTGTACACTGAAATACAGATACACTTGTTAACATCTGTAAAACTATCTTTTGTCTAATGTCTGTGGTTTAAAATGCTTTCATGAACGATTATTAAATAAGATTTTTTTAATTGTTGCTTTTGGTCATTTGTGATTTAAAAAAATTGATTAAAAACTGGCACAAATGAACCAAAAAAGATAAATGAATATAAAAATAGAGTGGCTAGTTGCACTGGTGGTAGAAACACAAGGTTCTAAACTACTTAATGAGAAAAAGATTCCTTCTAGTCTCCAATAAATCACTTTAATATAATCTAATAATAAATTAGGCATGTCAGAACCCATCTGCAGTACTTCACCTGCTCTGTTCTGTGTGTGTGTGTGTGTTTTTGTCTCAGGAAAGCAACCAAGGAAAATTTAGTGGAAACCAGCAGCAACATCACAGAGAGTCTGATGTCTATCAGCAGGATGATGTCTGAACAGGTGAAGCAGAGTGAGGACACCATTGGCACTCTAGGTAAAAATCTAATTTTATGTTTCAGTCTCCTGTCCACATTTCCTAACCGATCCTCCTAAACCCTTAATGCCTTTAATTCTTCGTCCTCCTTATTCAGCCACCTCATCCAGGACGGTGCAGGAAACCAACGAGGAGTTTAAAAGCATGACAGGAACCATTCACCTGGGCAGGAAGCTCATCCTGAAGTACAACCGGCGGGAGCTGACAGACAAGCTGCTCATCTTCCTTGCACTAGCCCTCTTCTTTGCCACCGTCCTCTACATCCTCAAGAAACGTCTCTTCCCCTTCATTTAGTCGGCCGCCTGGGTCTGTTTTTCCTCAAGGACATGGGGACTGGCTTGGAAGGAGTTAACACAGTGAATTGTAGGAGGTATGAAGTAGAAGCATGAACCACATGGACTCTTAGAAGCAGCACTGAAACTGGACTGTAGCACACAGAGGCGGCGTGAAGTGGGAACGTGTTACTTCTTACATATAATATGCAATATGAAGGGTTGGAAAATATCTGAAGCTCAAGATCCACTTCAGCAGTGAAAGGAGCAAAGTGAGTAAAACTGACATCCAGAGTTTCATAGAAAACATTAAGAAGCCACAGCCTGCCTCGAGTAGATATGGTTATACAATGTATTGTCAAAAGTTTGAACGCATGTTGCAAATGGTCACAGTTGAAGAAGGGATCTGCTGCTTTTTAGCCTTTTCCTTGATGCCTCACACTGCCTCCCTGGTGTTACAGTAAGGACTCTGTTATCCTAATGTGACCATTTCTATCATTCTGGATGATGGGTCTTTTTCAGAAAGCCTGAACTTGAGGAAATTCATGTGTTTACATTGAAATTTACATTAAATTGAAGTAAATACAGAGAGCTTAAAGGTTCAGATGCTCATATTTGCCAAATTGTGTGCAGTTTTTGAAATGTTGATACCTTAAAGCACACTGTAGGTTTCACAATGCAATAAGACAGCATCTAAAGATCAGCAGCCTGTATGCTCATGTAATATCTCTTTGTACCCCTTAAGTCCAGCGTAAAAGGAAGAAAAGGTAGTCTGCGATTCTGCCCTCATGTCAGTCATGTTGAAAGGTTGGGAGTTAGAGACTAAAGCAAGGGACCACTGGAGGCTTGTTTTAAGCCTCGATTGCTGCAAATAAACAAAATCCATCCAAAGAGGTGATCTGCGTGATAAAATGTTTCAGCTTATGCAAAATATTCACGTCCTCCAAGCAGAGGGCAACCTTATTTGAATTCAGCTGGAGCTTCACTTTTACAGAGATGGGAAGAAAAGAGGGGGACAGAAAAGTGAGCAACATTGTAGGACTCCATCTACTCCTGTTGAGTCATGGTTGGTTTCTGAGCTGTAGTAGTATCTTCTGACTTAACCAGCCTTTAATTCTACAGCTTAAGAGAAAAAACAACCCCAAAGCGGGTTGCCCTCCTAGTGTCCAGTACCTTTAATTCAGAACGAGTCAGGGTCATGGTTGCAAAATGCACCAACCTTTGTTTTTGTTTACTTTTGTTATAAAGTGTGAATGTGCTCAGGAGTGTATTTAGTGTACATTTTTTTTAACCTCATGCCTTCCTTCCAAACTACTGAACCAGTAATCCAGTGAATGATTGTTGCCCTGAAAGGTGTCAGATTGTGTGAATGTTGAACAAAAGCCCCGTGGGTTAGAGTTCATTTAAAAGTCTCAAGCACCAGCAGATGTCTTAAAACTCAAAATATCAGTTTGAACTGCAGTGCTGTTAAAAGACTTGTTCAACAGGATAGGACTAATTTAAATAACACACTTCTGTTTGTTCATCAGTATCACTTTATTTTAATAAAATTCAAATAACTGTTCAGAGTTTGTGATCCATTGGAGAAAAAAAACAACAAAAAAAACCCCCCAAAACCACAACATTCGACACCAGAGGTCTGTATGAAATGTGAACAAGTGAACATTAAAAATACATTTCTAACACATATTGACCTATGAGTGCTTTCCTTTCTGCACACTGCGCCTCATCCGTTTCTCCATGGTACACAATATGACTTTCTCCATAAATACAAAAGCAGATTCATAACTCTGTTCCTAAAATGTTGTGATGCTGTGTAAAAGTTCAAATTGAGCAAATGTTTTTCATGAAACAGTAAAGTGTCCCAGTTTAAACACTTGGTAGGTTTTCTATGTTCAATACTGAATAAAATATAATGCATTCTAATGGTATTTAGATTTTACACAGCGTCACAACTTTTTTGGAACTGGGCTTGTAAACAGGATACTGACTTTGAGCCATGAGCTACACTTGACCTACTGATTCCGTGTGTGTACGTCTGATGCTGAGCTGCAGTGGTCTGTGAGATTGAAGTGAGGTAGATAATTGTTCTTCCATCCTTAATGGAGCACAAATGCCCAGCAGATTGAATAAGTTATGATGCATTACTACACTGAATACTTTTAGCCACTACTGCTAGTATTATAGAATTGTGTACTCAGTTTCCATCTGTCTGTAGAGGAGTGACACTGGATTTCTCAGACACAACTGAATCTGGTTCAGTTGTGTCGTCTATATGACTGAGCCTGGGCCCATCCTCTGTTTGTTGCTGCAGGGGTCCCCCAGCAGCGATAGGCCATGGTGCACTGGTGGGTGGGAAAGTGCTTTGGTTGAGGGTATCGGATTGGCAGAGGGGGCAGTTTCCGGCAAGGCTGCTGCAAAGCGACCCCCAGTACTGCTCGCATTGTTCACGCAAACGGCGTCCGACCCACGTCTTGACCTCCTCTCCGCACTTCAGCAGGAAGTTCGTCAGCTCCACGTATGGCCTGGCAGGATGCGAATACATCAGGGTCATCAATAAATACTTGGCTGTTTTGTCCAAATGTACATTTAGAAAAAATGTCACTTACAGGAAGTGCCAAAAACAATAGAATGTCCCAGTTTTATTCATTTTTCCATTTGAGCAATTAATGACATAATTTTGAATGCATTTATTTGTACACATATCTATCAAAACAATAAAATTGTGGCTGTTAGTAGTTAATTTGTGTGAGTTTGTGTTTCTCACCCAGGGGGAAACATTAGGTGAAACTGCACCAGGTTTTCCACGGTGTCCATGTGATCCCGCAGTGCCAGGCAGAGCTGGTGTTTGGTGTAGCACTCCCTCTGAAGCACGCACACCATCTCCTTTATCGCCGAACACCGCCGGCTGATGCAGCTGAAACGCTGCCGCAGCCCCAATGCCAGGCACCGCAACGTGTCCTTCACAAATGCTTTGCCCTGCGAGAAAAAGGAGAACAGTGAGTGGACGATTACAGGGAAACCTATATACATACACACGATTTCCCCCCCCCCCCCTAATGTTTTATTGCAACCATGTTTTTATTTCCAATAGTCTTTTCTATCAGATTCAAAGACTTCTATTTAGTTTTTTATTCTATTATTGATTTATTATTTATGTCCATGTTTGATTTATCATCTTTTCAGTCATCTATAAAGTACTTTGAGTTGGTCTAAGTTCTATGAAAGTGCTACGCAAACAAAAACAATTTGTGACAGCCTTAAATCAAGGGGTTTACCTGAAGTACTGTTTAGGAAATAAAACCATTTTTATACACAGTCCTTGATTTTTAGAGGCTGAAAAGTAACAATTTTAAAATAAGGAATTTTTATTTTATTTTATTTTTTAAGTAGTTGGATTAAAATGGTTTGTAGTCACCGACTGTGTGACGTCTAGAACCATCAGACATCACCAGATGCTGCATTTCCTCCCTTCAGATGGTACGTCAGTCCTATACTGAAGCCACCTTCAGTTTAAGCTCGTTTGTGGCTCTTTAATTTCAGTTTTATCTTCAGAGGCTGAAAACCTGCTGACTTGAAGAATATCCCATTTCTTTGCATTGAAGAACTCTTGTGCTGAATTGCTAACGCTACAGCTATTGCAATACTTTTGTTAAATCCCTTGAATTAAAGCCAAAATCTGCACTTGAATGATTTGAAACCTGTGGTGTCCAGAGACCAGAAAACCAAATGCTCTGTGAAAAACATTAGTTTTTGCTGTATGATCTTTACCTCACAATATAAAGTGCCTCAAGGCAACCGTCTTTGTTATTTGGTACCATGTAAATAGAACTGTATTGAAAAATAACTTATGACTTACAGAGAAGGGGTGAGGTTAAATAAATGTCCACTTCTTCACACTCCTTTTTGAGTATGTAAACTAAATATCTTGTAATGCATTTCACTTCATTTTTGTATACTTTAAAAGGAATATTTTTCCTAAATTACATTCTGTACACTGTTGGAAGTTCTAACAGACGCTTGGGGTAGGCTCTGAAAGCCAGACTATCCTCATCCACTTTTACAGTAGAGAGCGAGAGAAAACAAACCACAAAACCAAACCACAACATGTTGACAGCCTGGCACAAAAACCGTTTGACCTCTGTGGATGCTCTACATAGATCTTCATGACAGCTGGTGAACTCGCCCAATCGTCAGTGTATTTGGCCAACTGCTCAACTGGAGTAAGGTCATTTGGTGCTGCTAGCGCATTAGTACAGTATGTGAGGAAAAACAGATATAAGAGGGTGGCTGTGCATGTACAAAGACAAATTTGAATCTGCGAGTTAAGCAGTGAAGAAAACAGAAAAACAAAAAACCAAAACAAACACGAACCTGTGGTGCCGACCTAAACAAATTTCAGATTGTCATCTATACCCTCAACAAGTGCCCCAGCAATAAGTGGTGCACACTAAGAGAATGGTAAAGGCCTAAATGCTCAACCCCTACATTGAGGGGATCCGGTGGCTCTGTAATGCTGCGGGGGGCTTTTTGCTGGCACGTATTGGGTCTTAGGGGATCTGCAAATCTCTACAAAATTCTTCTGGGTGATCATCTTTATCATGTTATGAAACATGAAGCCCTGAAGAAGTTTCCTGCAACACTTTATCCTTTAATCCACGACCATCTGTATCAGGTACATTCACTCAGAGATCTTCAAAGAACATCATCTTCTGTTTCTGCTCAAACTGGGGACACATTAGGCCTGCATCATTTTCTCATACATTTCTATTCTAGTAATGTGGACAGGATGTTCCTGTTCTCTCCTTTCACTTCCCCTCTCACGCTGTGCTGTAACTGTGCTGCCATGCATAACGATACACTGCTTCTTATACAACAAGCATTCCTCACAAATGACCGCAATGATGGAAGGGATTAAATGAAATAAAAACACGCATCCAGATATGCCTTCTCCAACCCTGCCCAGGCAACTTCTGAACTTCCCCTCAGCCTGTCAGTGCCCCACAGGCGTAACGACACAACTGACTTAATGAGTTTATTTTGAGTGTGAATGAATGTGAGACACACTGGCTTATCCTCACCTGCAAGTCGTAGTGTCCAGCGTTGTGCAGCAGAGTAAGACATATGTGGTCCAGCCCTCGGATTTCACAGGAGTTGTTGCTCAAACACTGAAACATCCCACAGCCAACATCAGCTGAACTCAACAGGCAACTCTGGAGCTCCGCTACGAGACAGTGAGAGATCAGCATTAACTTTCCAGGTGAATGTATGTGCCAAATAATATAATATTAAAAACAATACACATCCACTGTCAAGCCTCAGACCTTTGGCCTTCACTTTTCAGAAATTAGTATTGTGCCATACTGCAAATTTTTCATATCAATCCAACACAAAGGAAATGCAGGGCCAGTAATAATAATACTTTTAACTTAAACAGGCAGCTTATGTAGGGGAGAGGAGTGTGTCATGATTTAGTAGATGAATCATCATCCATTTGCAAATTCTGATCACATTTTAATGACCGCTAAATTACTGTGTTTGTTTATTTCCCACAATAATTAATTAAACAAAGCACACCTTTCAGCTTTTCATACATTTTGACACTCATGTTTTTGGAGAGGTATACATTTTTCCATTTCCAAAACAAATAAAAATGTATTAAAAACAATTCACTGGGCTACATACTGAACTTAAGATAGAAACAAAGTATCGATCCTGTCGAGCTAATATGGATCCACGTTGGTATCGACAGTATCATGTTTGGATCGAGCCCCTCAACTATCAGAAACCTATTTGTAAGTGTACAGAATGTAAATATGAGGATTTAGACATTTAAATGTTAGATAGTACTTTTTGATCAGCTTCCCTTACAGATTAGACACAAAAGCACAACCAGAATTCATACATAAGGCACACTGTCGATTTTTGAGAAAATGAAAGTATTTTAGTGAAAGGTTAGAGTCCGGAAAATACAGTATACCAGTTATGTAAGGTAGTTTGTTTCGGGCCAGGAGACAGCACAGTTTCACACACTCTTCATTTTGCACTTTATGGCGCTGTTGTAAATGGTGAAAATACTAGTGCTAGCTACACGGCGTCAACACGTTAACGAGGTAACCGCTAACCGTAACG